TTGTATGTTTAGGTATTCTGAGTCTTGCCCATTCACCCAAACTACTGCTCTGCTATTGCTATATAATTTTTAAAATACATATATATACCAGGTCACTTCCAAAGATTTTTTTTATAATAATTGGAATAAATATTTCCCATGAACTTTGTCAAAAGCCTTGTGGGCATTTACAAGGTACTCCTGAGACTTTTCCATATTACCCAGCATTCAGCATTTTGCAGGTGTGGATTATGTTTGGGGATGTATTTGTCATTCTTTCCTCCAATATGCCTGTCAATATTTTTGCATATTGCCCAACTAATGAGATAGGCCTATATGATCCTGGATTTTCTGGGTCTTTACCTGGTTTTAATATCACAACAATTCTATAATCTTTCCATGGCTTAGGCACTGTTAAACAGTCTTTGCATGTGGGGCAATAGTGTCTCAGATTATTTTTTTAAATAAAAATATTCTGGTAGACCATCCCTGCCTTTATGTGGTTTAAGTTTCTTAATTAGTCTAGAAATATCCTCCACGAATATCAGAAATACCTGATTACTTTCTTGCCCCAAAGCTGTTGAAGGAAATGAAACTTTCAAGTCTTGTGTCTAAATAACAAAACACGTACTTTATAAAAGTAAATGTGATTATCTGGAAGTATTTACATGAATGGAGCAATTCCCACACTTGTCTGAACACAAGCAGAGGTGCAATTATTATTTTTTGAGTGTTTCTGTGTTGTAAGATGCTGTTTATTACATGATTCTTGCCTTAGACAATAGAAAAACTGCATCCTCAAGTGACTCTCCTTCAGAAGTGCCTGCTACGAGTTCCGCAAGAGTCCATTATTTTACGAGTTCAGCATGAGTCCATTCTGCCACTAACAGGGAATTAAACTTCGCCTTCCCAGTTCTCCTTGGAAGCTACACAGTGGAGGTGGGTGGGGAAAGAGAGGTTTCCATCTGAAGGGACGGCACTGTTGTCAGGATGCACGAGATCTTCGCTGTTGTGGAGGGGAGCATTGATTCGTTCCTAACCCCAGGAGCTGTTCTAATAAGGAGGTGCTGATATGTGAAATGAAACCACAGAGTGCAGGCACGTGGAGTGCAAACCTGTGAGCCGCATTAAATACAAACTCAACCTGCACTAATGTTAATTGTCATTCAGTTTATATCAATGTGAAGCTTATTAAACCATAAAGTGAGGCATCTAGCACCAAGTGCGGCACTGAAGACAATTAAGTGTAAGAAGTGTTTCTCTTAATCCCTCCAAACCCTGGAGATGCACAAGTTACAGATGAACATCCTGTTTGCATTAAAGGCACTGCTTGCATGGCAGCTGAGCACACACACTGTGTCGAGAGATCCCAACTCAGATATAAAGCCAATTCTTCCCTGAAGCCTGAAATCCAAATTCCCTTCCTTTTGTGTGTGTGTGTTGGTGGCTTACTTCATAGTCACCTCCCCCCTTCCTTACTCACAAGTTTAATTTCCGAGACAGCTGTTCTTCTACAGCTACTACTATTAATTATCTGGATTAGTGCTGAATTTATCAGATTGAGATGCCTGACTCCCTGGGTATGTAAAAATTAGGGCCTGTGGGAGAATAAAGCATAAATAACTGATAGCTTGTGGAATGTTGAAGCTTACCTAGCCTTTCCATAGCACCATGAACAGGCATTGTAAATAAAAGCACAACAGAAGACTAAGATCCGACCGGGTCAATATAAATGGCAAAGAGCAATGACCAGTGTCTCTTTCCAGATTAGTGGTACTTCTTTGTGGTTCATGTGTGAGCGAGCCACTCCCACAAGGAATTAGTTACAGAAACCGCAGGAGCATTTTCGAAATGCCATCTTCAAACTGTATATTCCATCATGAGTTAGAAGTCTGTGCTTTACGTTCAGAGGTGTCCTGAGACATTTTGTTGCCCGACACGACAGACAAAATTGTACTCCTCCCACACCCCCTGTACAGAAGCTGACTGGATTGACAGTTATATTTTATATTGATGCTGCTGATGGAGCAACATCCTCTACCACACTAGCTTAAATGGTGCAGGGCAGGCCACAACACACACAAGTGTGTCCTCCAGAACCTTGATGACACTATGTGCTCCAGCATCATTCGCTTCACTGTGCATAATGGTATAGCTGGCACTGCTTTCAAGCCCAAATTTGTTTCAATAGCTGCCAACACAAAGATCATGCATACCATTTTCAAAACCCCAAGAGAGTAAGAGAAGACACTGCTGATGCAGCTTTCTCTCTGACCCCCCCCACCCTAGAAATCACATCACCCACCATCTTTGTCCCACCACTATCACTTGCCTATAGCAAGCAGGAAGTTAATTTTGTTCTACAACAGGAAGAGTATGATGCGTGATAGAGTATATATAGTGGAATAGGGAAGGATACAGGACACCTGCATATTTTCTTGCTGCTTCAGAGTGTCCACAGGGACTGGTGGGTTCTCTTGGCAGCCCCAACCGCAATATACCCCGTTCTCCAAACACTAAAACGTTAGGAGTGTCAACATTCACTATAGATTAGCAAAGCTGCGAGATCGGGTTACTAAGGAAGTTAGACAGTATTGTGCCAATCAAAATAAGTGCATTTGGCAGCTTATTTACCAAGTAGGTACAAAAGCAGTTCACATTCACAAAAGGGTGTGTGTGTGTTTTTTAAAAAAAAGAATTAAAAATTAAAAATTAAAAAAATTAAAAGTACCATGCCCATTAAATCAATGTAGGGTATAAAGCAATATAAACAAGTAGTTTACTTTATGGAATATTTCTAAATGAACAAATTAGGGGAAGGAGAGCTACATCCCAGTGGTACAACACACCCTTTGCATGTTTAATGCCACACTAGTAGCTTATTTCTGTTAAAAGGCTTTCTGGTAGAAGAGGCCTGTGAAATACTTCTGCCTCTGAAAAGCTTCTCTCAGGTTAGGACTTGTAAACCTTAGCAGCAGGCAACTCTCTTACACTATAGTTAGTAAACTATGGGGAGTGAGTAAAATTATCATTATGGAATGGGACGTCCCTATTTTCATTGGAGAAACGTTGGAAGGTAGGGGTTCGAGCCTCATGTTGGGCAAAAGATTCCTGATTAGATGACCCTCATGGCGCCTTCCAATTCTACAATTCTATGAAAAGCACACAGCCTGAAAGTGGAGGGAGCTTGCTGAGAATCTCTTGTGGTACAGCCTTGGAGGTGGGTTCTTGAATTGAGAACAGGTAACAATTCAGCCAAATGACATGGAATGGAAGAAGAACAGGCAACACTTTTCAAAGTGATGATAGTTTCAGGTGGTTGGTTTTTTAAAATTAAAAACAGTCTCATAAATTGTTTAATTCTGAAGTTGAAATTTAGAAATACTAGTTATTCATATAATTATATTCTGATATAACATTTCTGCTTTAAGGGATGCACTGACAGCAAGTTTGTCTACTGGTTTTAAAGGAGATGAGTGATAGAGCGATAACAGAGCTCATGCTTCACTCACATAGAGAGGGCCCCAGGTTCAATCCTTATAAATATCTCCAGTTAAAAGGCTCAGGTAGCAGGTCATGTGAACATCCTCTGCCTGAGAGCCTTGAGAACTGTTGCTAATACAGGGCTAAACGGGCAAGTCATTCCTATATTGTAGCCACTTTTGTCACTACTGAGCAGTAATTGCCCATCAAGGGCTTAGTGATGATTGTTCCAAGTGTTACTAAAAATACTTAAAAGTAGGATCCACAGGATTCTGCTAGTGGTGGTATATAAGAACCTGTGTTAGGATCTGCTCCAGGTAGCCCCACATTCTCAAATGACTAGGGTTGTTTGTTACCAGGATCAATGTGTTCTCTCTGGTAGCCACTACTGGAACCCAGAGTATGGACAGCTTTCACCAGCCACCTTGCTAATATTTAGACTTCAATTATATACTTTTGTAATTCCTATCTTCTGTTGGATTATTTGATTGGTTTGCTTCTGGCTGTTGCCTATTTTATACTATAGTTGTCTTCTCCTTCTTCAGTGAGCACTCATAGCCGAGTAAGATTATCTTCCATAAGCAAGGTTTTAACAATGAGTCTGTAAGTGACTGTGGAGGCCAATTCTGGATCCACACATCCTTCCACAGTGGGGACATAGATTTCTGGGTGGAAGTTGATCGCAGTGAGAGGGTTTGCCAAGCATGCCTTCCTCTTAGCACGTTTCTCCCTTTTTCTCCCTTTTGTCCTGAGTTTCAGAGTCTTCAAAGCCCATGACATCTTTGGTAAAGGCTGTTCTCCAATTGGAGCTCTCGCAGGCCACTGCTTCCCAGTTGTCAGTGTTTATACTACATTTTTTTAAAAGATTTGCCCTGAGAGGGTCTTTAAACCTCTTTTGTTGACCACCTGCATTACACTTTCCATTTTTAAGTTCAGAATAGAGTAGTTGCTTTGGAAGACGATAATCAGGCATCCGCACAACATGACCAGTCCAACAAAGTTGATGTTGAGGAATCATTGCTTTGACACTGGTGATCTTTGCTTCTTCCAGTACTATACTTGTATTGGATTGTTAACTATATTGTTGATTTTGTTATCCCCCCCCCCGTTATTTACCAAAAGCAGCATGGAATTGGGGGGGGGATGGGACTAACTAACTAAACAAATAGCTATATAGAACACACTTCTGGTAACAATGAGGATCAGGAACCCACATATCAATACTTTGTGTTGTTTACTTGGAAATGAGTCTCAGTTCTCTTTAATGAGGGCTTATCATAGGACTGCAAACTCAGAATAGCCACCATTTTATATTTTCAGGGAGGAAAGGGCATAGCTCAACTAAAAGCATGGTGTAGTACTTATAGACTTGGACCCAGCAACCCCCAACAATGAAATTCAATGGATGATCTTGGGCTAGTCACTCACTCACTCTCTCAGCCTCACCTACCTCACAGATTTGTTGTGGGGAGAATATGGGTGGGGAACAACACCATTTGCTCCACCTTGAGCTCCTTGGATAAAAGATGTGTTAAAAATATATTAAATTTATTTATTTATTATATGCATTTATTACCTGCCCTTCACCAAAGCTCCAAGGGCGGGTTATATAACAATAAAACAGTAACATACATTACATAATAAATTACTAAAGCAACAGTACAACCAATAAAATCATTAACAGGTGATGATCAGTAATCAAATGTTCCCAAAAGCCTGAGTAAAATGCTGTGCCTTTGCATCTCTTCTAAATAACCCCTCAAATTGGGGCTAAATAAAATAAAGAAAAGTACTTCTTCTGTTGCACACTCCATTGTCCTATCACATCATTTATAGAGTTTCTGGCAGCCAATATTACCAGGTGTGATTTTCCGGCAAGTAGGAGCCTGCCATTTCCTATCTATCTAAAGTTAAACATTTGCCACTGGCAACCATGAATTTTCTTATTGAAACAGTCTTCCCAGGTTTCACTAGGTTCTGTTTTGAACACAAAGGCCACGTCTCAGAGTCCTGGAACATGTGAGGCCATCTGAGGTTGTGCGGGATGCCTTTTCCTCACCACTGAGTAACAACAGATCACCTTCCCACATTCAGGAGCAAGGATGTTTTGGGACAGGATGCATTCCTCCCCATCAAGGGTGCAAAGGCAGGAGCAGTTGCCATCTATTCACAATTATTTCTCTCCCTCTTGGTAGAGCAGGGATTGGTAGAGCTACTAGAACAGGGGTTCTCCAACAGTGGTCCAAGGTCCAAACTGTGGTCTGCAAGCTTCAATCAGGCAGTACATGGTGTGTCTGTGAAGAAAGGCAGGCGCAGTGTGTTAGTCATATTGATTTTTTATTGTAGTTTATTATTATTATTATTATTATTATTATTATTATTATTATTATATACATTACCCAAACTGCATATGTATGTTGCACTTCATTGTGAAATACTACTGTTTGAGGCAGTTTCCCAAACCAGCTTCACACCAACTGCAGCCCCCTGTTTTTCTCCAGATGTCACTGGGTTGCAGTTGCCATTGTCCCTCACCACTGGCCATGTCTTCTGAGGCTAATAGGAATCATAGAGTTGGAAGGGGTGCTGGGGATCATCAAGTCCAATTCCCTGCAATGAAGGAATATGCAGATGTCCCTTATGGGGACTGAACCTGCAACCTTGGTGTTATCAGCACCACGCTCTAGCCAACTGAGCTATCCATCAGAGTCCAACATCATTTTGCTGGGATGGGAAAACGTTGACCCTCCATAAGTTGGACTACAACCCGTATTTCCTGACCCTAGGGTCACATAGGCTGTGGCATATGTTGGGTGTCTAGCAACATATACAGAGGACCATAGGTTCCCTGACCCTGGCCTAATAAAGATATATGTTTAATATGCATAAAATGTAGTGTTTGGATGCATTGATGTAAAGAAGACTTATGAAAGGGTCTGCATTTGCAAAGAGAAGTTTGCATTAGACAGGAGGTTAAACTCTAGGTATATGCCACAAGGAGGGTGTTTAAGACTGATTGATGACTCATCCTGGAAACACAAGCTGAGAGCTCTCTCAACAGGACATAAAACCTGAGAACTCAGCATCTTCCTCAGTCCTTGGAGCCAGCAGCAGTAGAAATGAAGCTCGGCTATCCTGAAGAAGCAAGATGCTTGCACAGGATGTCTCTCTTGGTTCTGAGAGAGTAAATCTACAGACATTTATTAAGGACTAAAAAGAAGGCAGCACTGCATTGTTTTAGAGCAATGTGCTATTTTGTATTTTGCAACTTTTATTTGCAACTATTTTAAGACTGTTCTGCAGTCTAAAGCTTCGAAACCCGTTCTCGGGGTGTAGAGCTAATTCATTTCCGCTCTGCACGAGGTCCGGATCAGGGATTCCGTTTGCAACAACAACTCTGAACATGGCCTAGATAAAGTGGGTCCCAAACCTCCCAAGTCAGCAGCAGCGGTGGTGTTGACTGCTGGTGCTCCTCAGCAGGAGCCCATCCGGAGATGGCGCTTGCGGGTTGATGCATCCAGGCTCGCCAGCTCGCCCGCGTGCATGTGTATGCAATCCATTCCCGCTCCATGAAAATCAATGATACTCTTGCTGCGCGGCGGCGGCGACAGAGGCTTCTCTTCCCCTCCAAAGGTCTAGGGAGATCTATGGGTTGCTTTTGCAGCCGGGATGCGCACGTGCCCGCACACATTTTCCCCTCCTTTAGCCACGCCCCTCAGAAGCCCTCCTAGCTAAAAAGAACCTGTGCGGCTCTTTCTCCCTTCGCCCAATCTCTACTGCAGGGCAAGAGAAGGAGGGAAAGAAGAACGGAACCGGGTGAAGAAAACGGGAGAGGAGAAAAAGAAGGAGAAGGTGGGGGAGGCGGAGCTAACACTGAAGCGGCTCGGATAGTTGGCAGACACCGTGTTCTTCCTCGCCGTTCTTTTAATCTGCCTCTCCCTCACCCTCGCCGCCCCACCGGCAGCCGAGGAGTAGATTTGGGGAGGAGGAGGGTGGGGTTGGCTCTCGGCGACCGCCAACACCAGCAGCAGCGCCGCCGCCGCCGCGCTCCCAAATTCGCCTCCGTCCGGCATTCCGGCTCCTCAGCAGCCCTCGAGACTTCGCGCCCCACAGCGGGAAAGCAGGACTCTCCGGGCGCGAGCATAAAAATAAAATAATAAAGCGCGGAAGGGAGAGAGAGAAGAGCTGCCTCAGCGCGCCGCTACCACCAGCAGCAGCACCGGCAGCGGCTTGTCTTGCTTGCTTCCTTCGCCAGCCTGGGAGCTCTGCCCGCAGCCGCTCGGAGGAGCCTCTTGGCAGCTTCCCGCGCCAAGGTAAGGCTCGGGTTGGGTTGCGCGTCCCGGAGTGCAGCGCCGTGTTTGTTGTGAGGAGGAGGAGGAGGGGGCGCGCGGGCGGGTGTGGGGGAAAGAGCGGGAAAAGGCGCCTTTCTCTCTCGCTTCGCAGTGGTGGGTCGCTGCTGCCTTTGAAGGGAAAGAGCAGGTGCTTCCACCAAAAAAAAGGAGGGGGTTCGTTTGGGTATGTGGAGAAAGAGAAACAATTCAAGGCAGCGTCTGCACCACCATCAATCCCACCCAGGCTGTCCTTTCCCCTCTCGTGCACAGCCTCTGCCTCCAGCTCTTTTTCTCTTAGCTCGGGCATGGATTCAGTCCTTTCTCCCGGGAGGTGGGTGGGTGGGCTCCGGGCTTCTCTTGGCATGCACAATTTTGGCCCTCGGATTTGGGCGACACTCTCCCCCACACCCCTCGAGTCAACAAGTTTTATTGGTGGCGCGAAGACCCGGGCGCTTCTAGTTCTCCTTCGAGCTGTGGAGGCTGGTGTTTTGCCAAACTGTCTGCTGGGTTTTGCAGTTTCGCCTGCAGCACTTCGGCTGCGTGGTCGGTTTGCTTTGAAGCCCCGTCGTGCAAAGCCGTGATTTGCCTCCGCTCAAAAACAAACAAAAACTTACTTCAGAGTAATTGCCTTGCACGTTTGTCCGCGCCCTCTCAGGGGTAAGACAGCAGCGGATGCTGCAAGACCTGGGCTCTGTGAACCTGGCTGTAAAATTAGCTCCGCTGAACTCGGTCGGACTTGCTCAGAGTGGTAGAGCTTTGCATGCAGAAGGTCCCAGGTTCAATCCCTGGCATCTCCAGGTAGGGCAGGGAGGGAGGGAGAGAAAGGGACCCCTGCCTGAAACCTTGGGAGAGCAGCTGCCAGCCCGTGTTTTCACTACTAAGGTAGATGGACCGGTGTAAGGCAGCTCCCTATGCTCTGATTCTGAGCAAATGTGCAGGACTGGACTGTGGAAGAAGGTGGAGTGGCTGAGATTGCCACCCAAACAGAGTTTGCATAAGGAGCGAGAGTGCTCTGGTAGGGAAGGGCTGCTGCCAAATAGATTTTCCTACTGAAATGGAGTGGGGAGGGGAGAACTATGGTATGCAAAATTGCGACTCCCCCCTCCTCCCATCAAAAGAAGTAGTGATGGTGCGACAGGGTACAACAAACTGATGGGCATCAGACCCGATCGTTCTTCCTATGTGAGTCTATCTTCTGCACAGTTCCCACTCAGGGTTTACCCAGAGGAGTACAGATACGGAGGTTAACTTTGCTAGATAGCAGTTATCTTTTCCAGTCACCTTTGCAGAGAGACGGCAAACAGGCGATATGTATCAGCCCCTCGTTCTTGTCTTTTAACAAATGGAATGAGCAAAAAGGAGAGAATCTGGGCAGTGGTGTGGTGGATCCTGGGATAAACAGACATTTGGATGATAAAACCCTGGTCAGGTTTTGCCTGAGCTCCTATTAGTACTCCAGCGTTGGTCCAGAGATGTTCAATTATGTCTTTGGAAGCAGAAACAAGCAAACACAAAAGCAACTGATGTCTTGCAGGAATGGGAAGCTGGGTGTTACAAGCAGCAAGTTAACACCTCTTCCACTGCACACCCTCCTCCAGTGTTGAATACAAGGAACTAGCTTCCTTTTATTTACTATGCAAATTAAAAGATTGGGTCTTACTATATGTAGGTTGAAACATGCCTAGGAAAAGGATAAGAAAAGTGATACAGGGGTGTGTGTGTGTGTGTGTGTGTGTGTGTGTGGTTGTTTGTGCATGTACACACATGTAGAGTACAACTATTGGGTTAATCTTGTGTAAATTCTTGGGACAACTTTTACTGGATGCAAACAAGTGTTCCTTTTTTCAGTTTTCAAATTCTGTCTTCCCAAGGGTGGTTGTTAGCTTTCTGTGTTGCGAGCAACATAATGCAGCATGTTGTGTCACTTACCCAGACAGAAATGACTTGCTCACTAAACTACAAATGAAATGATGCTGCTTGCATAACAAGTGAGGCTAGTTAGCATTTTACATACTGATTTTCATTTAAGGTAAATGAAAGCAGGATAGCTGTCACTGTGTTTATGGTTATTTGTGCTCTGTAGGGAAGGATATACTAAAATCCTAGAGATCTGTCATTCAAAAATCATGAAAATATATTTTATTTATGTTTAATCTCCCCTCCCCCCACCCACCCGAATAAGCTACTTTTTGAAATGTGTTTAAAAGGATCTGTATAAATCCAGACATCATTTTTGGTTTTTGTGTTTTTTTAATGTTGTTATAGATTTTGTGTTAAAACTTCTTCACTACCTTAATGAAATTATTACTTTTAGAATAATAAATGATGCTGTTGAAAGTGCTAGGTTGAGTGTGAATCAAAAACTACAAACATCTCATTGCTTGGGACCCCGAACACACTATTAGATTAGAAATAATTACCGCTTCTTCTCCAGGGACCAACTTTTGAGCAGGGGTGAAGGTGGACATACATTTTTAAGTGGGTTGGAATGGAAGTAGTTTCGAAACAGTTCTGCTGCATTTTGAGGCATTTGTTTCCATCGCACTCTTTATAGGCTGAACTGCGCAGTTTAGAATCTCTGCCTGTGCCTGGGTTAATTTATGGGCAGTCATTGCTTGAAGTTGTGTATTTCCATAGTATCTCTCTTGCCTTGTGGATGCAAGTTACAAAACCATTTCTGTTTGACAGTAGTTGAATGCCACCATCTGGATTCATTCCTAATATTAGGGGATCACATGATCAACACTACTGCATGTTTTTCTTTAAAAAAACAACAACCCAGCAGCTGCTGTGGTTTATCTGAGGGTACTTCTATAACTGAAATAGGCTGTAAGCCACAGCTGGTAAGGAAAGAATAAGTTGACACACCCAGTCAACAAGGTTTGACTTGAGTGTTATAACGCCGAAGTGATAATTATGACTGCTGTAGACAAACAGTTCATTGTAAGCAAGTTCCATTGGAATCAGTGGTACTTTGCCACACATGTATAGTGTCTAAAATTCGAATGCAATGGTAGTTACTGCCACTTGTGGAAATAAGCAAGACTGTTTCTGTGCCTCCTCAAACCACAAGTGCTGTTTCCCTTACCAGTGATTGGAATTGCATCGTGTGCAAACTGAAAATGTGAAATCACAAGGCATATTTATAAGCTGTTAAAACAATTTAGATGATAAAATAGTTGTCAGTTGCATGGTACACACAGGCCAAGTACAGTGTGCTGTCAGATTTCTGCATGATGCATCATTCACTTCTGGTATGAATAGCTTTACTGGGTCATTGATCTGGTTTCTGACTATAACCATATTCAGATGCTTTTCTGTAGGTGTTAACATCATAGATTAGAAAACTTGGTTCCATTTTGCAGTTAAAGTTGTCAGAAATATCTAAACCTGCTATTCATTGGCATAGATACCCTTAGCATCCTAATAGCTGTTCATTCCCCACCACCATGTTTTCCATAATCTCATATATATTGCGCTCCAGGAAATGTATGTCTCCTTATGTATAACCCTTTGCCTTCTCATTGTAAGCTTTCAAGCTTGGCCATACAGTTTGTCAAGATATTCCTAGATATAACCTCTTATATCTTCTACAGAACTACTTGGGAACATAAAAAGACTCTAGTACATCAGACCAAAGATCCATCTAGTTCAAAATTATTATTATTATTATTATTATTATAACATCCTGCTTCCATAGAGCCCTACCAGACGCCTCCGGGAATCCCTTTCTCTTTAATAGACAATGATTTTGTTCTCTTGCAGCATGTGGCGTCTGTCTGAGTGTATGCTAATATTCTACCTATACTCTAAGCATTTTATAGGATAATGGAAGACCTGATGCTTAGCCAATTAAAAGACTCTCATTGACTTTGCCGTGGCCTAAGCACTGAATTCATAGGAAGCTATCCAGTATAACATTTGCAATGTGGACAAAATTACTTTCTCGCTTGACTCATGTTGGGAAATAATGCATTGCTGGTAGCTTAAAATAGTCGGAAGAAGTGCTTGCTAGTGCTCTTTAACCTTTTCAGGCCTGTGGACAAACTATACTGAGCAAGGCTCTTTGGGCCTTGGGCAGGAATACTGAGATTTGTTCCCCTCCCCCAACTGGTAGAAGCACTATGTCTGCTTCTTGATAAGATATCAGTCTTTTAAATTTTATTTCTGGAAGACAGAAAGAATGAGGTCATCTAAGTTAAATTAAGGATAAGCACAGAAGTGTAGCAAAATCAGTTCATTCTAAAGGATGGATTAATCTATGATTTCAATTTCAATTTTTAAAATTCAGATTTCAGTTCAGAATTATTACTTTTCAGTAATGTGAGCTTATCAGCATTTTAGTGTTATCCCTGGGTTTCATCCCAAAATAATAAGACTGCAGTACACAAGCTTTTTCTGCAGGAAATTGTTAGCCAGCATCCTTAATATCAATTGGATATAAATGAATTTGAGGACTTTACAATAGCCCCTCTAATTTCCTCACTTCTCATGTGCTGCATTAGCCTCAATTTCACTGTGTTCATTATCCTGTGGGCTTAAACTGTTCCATGATAGTTAAGGATGATGCCACTACTAAGTGAAGCTAGAGCTTGATTCTTATATGGGCCCTATAATTTATATCTGTTTCCAGTGAGTATAAACACATTATATTGTACAGGATTGGAGAAATGGAAGGATAAAGGTACATTAGTGCTAGAGGTGCACACCCTTCTGCATAATACAATAATTACTTCTACTGTTTAGTAGTCATATCACACTTCTAATATGCAACATGCTTTACAGTTTTTCATTCTCTTTGCCCTAACATAATCCTTGGAAGTATGTACAATATTCCCATTTTATGACTGTGGAACTGTGACCGAGAAAATAATTTGCTCAGGGCCATGGCAGGGTAATGATTCAGACCCACGTTTCACAGAACCAAATACAGTGGTATAAATCTGGCATACTGCACTAACTCATTTATTGCTGGTGTACACATTTTGTTTATGCACTTACTTAACTTTATTTACATGTATTACCCTCCTTAGTTACTTGTGTGTGTATGTGGGTCTATTCAGATATGTTTCATGGGACCAGTGTTGCTACACATGCCATTTCTGTAGCCAATAATTGCCACAAGGCAGTAAAAGATACCATATTAATCAGATGAGGGGTGGCTATCCTGAGTGCATTTTTACATGGGGTTTCATTCATTCTCCATTAATCCCATAAACCAGAGTTAAAATTGCATGTATCCCCAAAACTGTTGCTTGAGTTCCACAGTTGCTCAGGTGAATTAACTAGTGGTGTGTCGCAAGAAGTCTTGCCATGCAACCACCCCTTGTGTTTTCCTCTTCCCACTTCTTGCTAAGAACATTTTCCAAAAGTGTTAAGAATGTCCCTTACTACATCCCCTTGGGTTGTTGTTGTTTAGTCGTTTAGTCATGTCCGACTCTTCGTGACCCCATGGACAAGAGCACGCCAGGCACTCCTGTCTTCCACTGCCTCCCGCAGTTTGGTCAGACTCATGCTGGTAGCTTCGAGAACACTGTCCAACCATCTCGTCCTCTGTCGTCCCATTCTTCTTGTGTCCTCAATCTTTCCCAACATCAGGGTCTTTTCCAGGGAGTCTTCTCTTCTCATGAGAACCCCCTTGGGTTATGCTTATGTAATCACTCTTTTTGTCATAACTGTTCTGGTTGAGTCTAGCCTTCTGGCTGAAAGCAGGAATTGTAATGCATACCTTTTGTACCTATGAAGCGGAAGAGGAGAGCATGGCTGAAGTACATGCCTTGTCCTTTTTGGAGAAAATAACTGCAATTGGTAACTCGCCAGCCACATGTTCACAAGCAGCTTGGCCACATGCCTCTTTGCTGTTCTACATTTGGAGCCTGCTTCCAACAAATGTCCATTGGGTGATGTCAGTCCATGTGTATCTCTGTGCACCTACCCTCATAGCTGAATAGAGAAGAGTGTAGATTTTGTGTCTTGTGTGCTCTCTTTGGAGGCTCTCTGTTAAAGCTAATAAATATGTAAGATCACATGCCTAAAATACAAGGCTTTTGCTTTGATTCATTTATCTTTTTTAGCCCAAGTCTCATTAGCTCTCTTAGTCAATAATGCCACGTTTACAATTAAGATATAGATCTGGATCCAGAATTTTTGCATTTATAAAACTGTGCTTACCTACCTTCTCCCCATTGCATCCCTCTGTGTTCCCCAAAAAGCCTCTTCTGAGAGTCAGGGGCCTGGTGCTTGGAAGGAGAAAGTGGGAGTAAGTATAGGCAGCTTTTCTAGCAAGACTGTCTCCACAACACTCATGTTAAGTTTTTGTTTCTGACACCACATAACTGGGATGGGGTTGCTGGTCATACTGAAGTTAAGCTGACCTACTCTAGCTCATGGGTCACCAATGTGGCAGGTGCACACCCACTCACAGAGGCTTTCTTTGGCAACTGCAGTGTGCCTTCTATGGCACTCTTCCTCCTGCCAAAATTAGCCTTGAAATAGAGTATTCTATTGCAGCCAGTAGAATAGTTTACAGCGTGTGAGTGTGTGTATGCCCACAACACCTTTTTCTTTCTACAAATGTGCCCATGGGCCCCAAATGATTGTAAACCATTGCTCTAGTCCAGGGGTCAGCAACCTGTGGCCCATGGGCCACAAGCAGCCCACAGGGGTTGTTTAAACAACCCACAAGCCGCCCCCGAACCGAGCCACCCACTTGTCGAGTCCCCACACTTTGCTAAACCGGTGCAACACGGAGCGGGGACTCGCTTCCGCGGCGCTGGAAATCACGTCTGCGTAGATGTGATCCGGCCCAGGCGAGGTAAATCTTGCCGACCCTTCTCTAGTCTGCTGAACGTGAAGATGCATATGAATCATTAATACTTTGAGTTGTAACCGGCTGTGTTTTACTCAGAGTAGACTCACTGAAATTAATGGCCCTAAGTTAGTCTGATAGTCTATTAACTTCAGTAGAACTTCTTTGATTAGGACTAGTAAACTTCCAGATTTATTAGATTGAAGAAGTCTCTCTTTGACTATCTTAGAACAACTATTTGAAGTATTACAGCAGATGAAAATATACAAATATTTATACAAAAATAAAAATGCAGTGATATAAGACAGTATAAACAATATCCTTAAAAGCACACCATGCTGGCAGACAAAACTTCAGGGATAATCAACTAAAGAAAGGTGTGAAACTGACCATCCCATTTCTTCAAATGTCTGGGAGTAGTGTACATTCTATTTTTAGCTCTAAAATGGTAAGAGTCCAGGATAGACTATACCCATATATTCTTTTCCCCAAACATGTAATTCTGCTTTATAGCTCCCCACATGGCTTTTTACTGTGTAGCAAAGCCTTCAGACTGTTGTCAGTTCTCAGTCCTGATTTCCAGTAACGCCTCACCTAGGCCCTATGTAGGAAGTAAAGGATTAAACATCACATACAATTGAGATTTATAAGATATGAAGATAAGCTTTTTGTTTACTTGTATATTTTGTGATGAGCTCATGAAGTTAGAGGAGAAACCAGGAATTCCTTTATCAGAATAGTTCCTGAAGAAAGCGTGGTAGGGAATGTGTTGGTCTTGTACACACGTAGCAGCAAACCATAGTTAAGGATTTAGTGTGAATGTATGGATATTGCCTGCTTTGCTCTTTCCTACTAATGTGCAGAAGAAGCAGATAGCAATCTTTGGCTTAGTATTGTGCCTAAACTGCAGATTGTGGAGGATATTTTGCTGCAAAGAAACAACAGCTTGCTGTAGAAAGATTTGTTCTTGGCTTATTAACCATAGTTTATTACAGCAAAACCAACCACAGTATCTGCTTCAGAGATACCTGTTATCTCTGTGTATGTATACAGTTCTCACGCATGCTTAATGGCCTTAATGTTAGCTTATGGGGGTTGCATGTGGGAAATAGCAGGGTTTGCCCCTTCCACGTGTGTGTTTGTGTGTGTGTGTGTGTGTGTGTTTGTGTATTTACAAAAAAGTAGCCCTTTACAGTTTGTGTGCATGTCTGTGAGGGAGATTTTATTGGTCTGCTGTTTACCATGTTGCTTCTACAGGACAGATACTTGCAGTTCCATTCATATTTGATACTTTACAGAGCATATCCTTCTCCATTAGTTTTGCACTACATAAGAAAAGTCACATTCGGAGCTCTCTCAGGGGTTAACCTGGCAATCATACTTGAGATTACATTTTTGCTGGGAAAATGTCATAGCATCCCGTGCTATGTTTTAGTGAATAAATAATCTGTGCGCTGTTTTCCAGAAGGTACTTTTTTTCCTGCAACACTGTGAGTAGCTGCAATTTGCACATTAAGAGTCTATTTGGTTTTATTTATAGGAATCCTTGTTGTTTGTGGTATCTTGCATGCTATTTTTATGCAATAAATTCCCTTGGTAGTATCTGTCTTAAGTACCACTGGTAAATATAAAACATGATAAACATCATATTTACTCTAGAGGAGTCTTATGAAAAATAATACAGTTGTAGTAGAGTAAGCAGAATATGCAGAACAGCCATATGGCACAATCTATGCATGCTTACTTGGAAATTAGCCTTGCTGTGTTCGGTGGGGCTTAGTTTTTGTTAAGTGTGTAAGGATTGCAGCCCTAGTCTCGCTGGTGTATGGATGGATAGGCACATCTCTGTATCCTTAAGTGTGTTTTGTTATAAGACTAACAATAATTCTAGAGGTATTTGAAACACTTCCCTGCAAATGTTGGTATTATATGCCATCTTCAGACATCATTCATGTAATAATAATAATAATAATTTTTTATTTATACCCCGCCCTCCCCAGCCAAGGCCGGGCTCAGAGCGGCTTACAAGCAATAATAAAAACAAGATGAATGATTATAACTTAAAAACAAAAATAAAATACAACATTAAAATAATGGAACATTAAAATATTAAAATGTAGCCTCATCGCAGGAGGAGAAGGAAAAGAAAAAAGAAAGAGAGGGAGGGAAGGAATCAAATTGGCTCCAAGCCAAAGGCCAGGCGGAACAACTCTGTCTTACAGGCCCTGCGGAAAGAAATCAGATCCTGTAGGGCCCTGGTCTCATGAGGCAGAGCGTTCCACCAGGCCGGAGCCAGAGTTGAAAAGGCCCTGGCTCTGGTTGAAGCCAATCTAACTTCCTTAGGGCCTGGGACCACTAGGGTGTTGTTATTTATGGACCTTGAGGCTCTCCGTGGGGCATACCAGGAGAGGCGGTCCCGTAGGTACGAGGGTCCTAGGCCGTGAAGGGCTTTAAAGGTCAAAAGCAGCACCTTAAATCTGACCCTGTACTCCACCGGGAGCCAGTGTAGCTTGAAAAGCACTGGGTGAATATGCTCCCATGGCAGAGACCCCGTGAGGAGCCTCGCTGCAGCATTCTGTACCCGCTGGAGTTTCTGGGACAGCTTCAAGGGCAGCCCCGCGTAGAGCGAATTACTGTAGTCAAGCCTGGAGATGACCGTCGCATGGATCACTGTGGCCAGGTCGGGGCGGGAAAGGTAAGGGACCAACTGCTTGATGCGGCGAAGGTGGAAAAATGTCGCCTTGGCTGTTGCTGTAACTTGCGCCTCCATGGAAAGGGAGGCGTCAAGGATTACACCCAAACTCTTAACGGAAGGCAATGACACTAATTGGGCCCCCGCAAGAGAAGGGAGTTGGTCCCTCATCCCCATGCCATCCTGGCCTAGCCATAGGACCTCTGTCTTTGAAGGATTTAGTTTCAATCGGCTCCCACGAAACCATCCAGCTACAGCTTCCAAGCATCTGGTCAGTGTGTTCGGGGCCGAGTCGGTGTGGCCATCCATCAGCAGATAGAGCTGAGTGTCATCAGCATATTGGTGACAGCCCAGCCCAAAGCTCCAGATAATCTGGGCAAGGGGCGCATAAAGATGTTAAAAGCATCGGGAGAGAATTGCGCCCTGCGGCACTCCACTCACCAAGGAGTGGCGCGACGACATTTCCTCCCTAGTGCCACCCTCTGTCCCCGACCAGAGATAAAAGAGCACAACCAGTTACGGGCTATGCCCTGTATCCCCACGTCTGCGAGGCGGTGGTCCAGAAGATCATGATCGACCATGTCAAAGGCTGCTGACAAATCTAAAAGGATCAGCAGTCCTGACCCGCCTCGATCTAGTTGTCTATGGAGATCATCTGTTAGGGCAACCAGAGCCGTCTCCATCCCAAAACCAGGACGGAAACCGGACTGAAATGGATCTAATGCCGATGTTTCCTCCAGAAACCTACCAAGCTGTTCAGCAACCGTTCTCTCAATTACCTTACCCAGGTATGGAAGATTTGAAACTGGGCGGTAATTGGATAGGTTTAAGGGATCTGATGAAGTTTTCTTTAAGAGTGGACACACTACTGCTTCCTTCAGTTCCCCTGGGAATGTCCCCGTGTCAAGGGACAAATTGATAATTTCAACCAGGGGGGTCCACGCAACATCTGGACACTCCATAATCAGCCAAGACGGGCACGGATCAAGGAGGCAGGTGGTGGGCCTACCAACTTGGAGGAATCTATCCACATCAGTAGGGAGTATCCGATCGAAATGGTCCAACACTGGACCTGAAGTCAGTCGAGGGGCCTCCAGTTCAGTCACTGTATCTAAATTGGCAGGGAGGTCACGGCGGAGCAACAGGACTTTCTCCGCAACAAGCTCGCGAATGCCTCACAGCTGTGGGTCGAATTTGTGCTTAAATTTGGTTGTCCTCCTAAGGACGTTATTGACCTAATTATTCTAAAAAGTTGTGCCGGGCGAGAGCTAGCGGATGCAATGGAAGCTGCAAAGTAAGATTTCTTAGCAGCTTTCATAGCCATCTCATAGGCTTTCATAAGCGTCCTATAAGATGTTCTTGAGGCTCCGTCACGAGTCCGTCGCCATACTCGCTCTAGCCGTCTGAGATCCCGCTTCATTTTCCGGAGCTCCTCAGTAAACCAAGGGGCCCGGTTTCGACAGGGTCGCAGAGGGCGCTTAGGCGCGATCTCATCAATGGCTGCCAAGAGCCGGTTATTCCAGTCCTCAACAAGGTCATCTAATGAGTCGCCAGGAGGAGCAGGGTTCCGCAAGGCTTGTCGGAATCTATCAGGATCCATCAGTTTTCGCGGACGAGCCCAAGTAGGTTTGCCACCCGAGCCGGGGAGGAGCGGGAAGTCAATCTTGGCTTTCAGAGCGTAGTGATCAGACCATGGCACTTCCACAGCGGGGAGCATGATCACATCTATGCCAGCCCCAAAGATCAGATCCACCGTGTGGCCTGCTTGATGAGTGGGGCCCAAAACAAACTGGGAGAGCCCTAGTGTTGCCATGGAAGTCACTAGGTCCAGAGCCTGTGAGGAGGGAGCGGCATCGGCATGGGCGTTGAAGTCTCCCCAAACCAGTAGGTTTGGGAACTCCAAGGCCTAGCCTGCCACCACCTACAGCAGGTCTGACAGGGTGGCTGCAGGTGTGCTGGGTGGTCGGTACACCAGCCAGACAGCCAAGCTCTCCTTGGTGCCCCACACGAGACCAACACATTCAATGCCGGAGATCACCGGTGATGGCAGAGCTCTGAAAGAGCAATCCTCCCGGAATAACCACGCTACTCCTCCCCCCCGACCCACAGTCCGCAATTGATGGAGGACAGAGAAACCTGGGGGTGTTATCTCATGTAGGGAGACTACTTCGCCTTCCTGTACCCAGGTCTCCGTCACGCAAGCCAGGTCAATCCCCTGCAAGACAAAAAAGTCACGCATGGTGGCGGTTTTGTTGCCTATGGACCTGGCATTGCACAGCACCAATGACGGAGGTGTGTAATCCTTGCTCTCCCTACCCTCATCCCTTGGGATGGGGCGTAGATTGGAAGGGGTTCGAGGATCACTGCATCTCGAAACCCTTCGCCCGCCGATAGAGATATCTAGCCCCACCGCCATTCCTCCCTAGCCCTTCAATTGTGGAAATCCCAGATCCCATACTAGCTTCCCCAATAGATGGGTAACATCCCCTCAATAAAAAGTCATCCTTGGGCCAGGACTCCTGGGTCAAAATGGTATGGGAAAGAGGTGGAGGTCTGATAGGGTAAGTATCCCTAGAAGATAAAACCCAACCAACAGCACCCCAAGCGGGGGAGACAGTCCCATGGTGTTTCATTAACTGTCAATCCCCCTCTCCCTCCTGGGTTAATTGGAGGATTGTTGGTTCTATCTGTGGCTGTGGAAGTATTAATGAGGTATGTGTTATAAGATGTAGTGGACATCTTGGTACTCATAAACATCAGCAAGCAACAGGAAGTACATGAAATACACCAATGTCAAATTTTGACTGTAATTTAAGCTAATTGCCAGGAGTTTTACTTTGGGCATTCTTGATGTTATTTGTAGTGATAAATACAAATATGGACATAAATACTTTACCACTGGTAATTCATTGATTTGATTATCAACTCTGTTATTCTTAACTATTAAGTCTAATTCACCATATATTAATTGCTTGTTGCCTGCATTCTTTTGCTGTAAATGAAAGAAGCACAGCCAATTTGCATGGCTCTTCTCTTTGACTCTTCTATAGTTCTGCTCTACTTTTCCTGAAATGGTAAGAACTAAATGCATTATTTCAGGGTGCAGTATTTCACCTGCACAAAATTGAGTGATTATTATCTTCTCCTGAGTCACTTGTTTTTCTTTACTTTGATTTTATGTTCTGTGGTTTTGAAACTAGTTTTGCAACCAGTATTCCAATCTAACTAAGAAACTTTTAATTTTAGTCCTCCCCGCTATATTGTTTGTAATTTCAGTTTTTTGTATCATTAGCAGGTTTGACACTACTTGCTGCTTCCTGTAAGGCATTAAAGAAAAGAGATTTTTACTTGTTAAAGTTAATGAACAAATTAGGGTTACTCTGACTAAAACATAGTTGAATCAAAGTAATATTTGAATGCCAAGATAGGAAAAAATGGAAGACAACATTCATATGAGTTTGACTCACGTTGAATTTTGAGGCATTTATACTTCAATATTATTTGTTTTTCAACCCATGCTAATTGCTGAAAGACCCCACAAAATACAGTGCTGCATATGAATTGTGAGAATGACAATTGTCTAGAATTGCCTAGAATTCATTTTCACATGGTCGTGTGTAAGGTCGATCAGGTAGCTTGCAGTTGGTCAAAGCTAAGCACGTGTATTTATTTTTCAGCCAGTGTTATAGAAAACTCATTAGGTTTGTAGATAAGCACAAACCATTTTTTAAAACAGCAAAACAAAATTGTATACTGTCATCTGCATTGTTCTGTTGACATCAGAATCTATAATAATCTAATACCTGTACTCCTAAAACTCTGCTGCCATTTATAAAAACCCTTTAAAGTCTTTGTGGTTTATTCTTAATATCCAGTCTATCAGCTTTTGACACCATACATTTGTACACAACCTGAAAAGTGTGTCGTTTTAGAATTGATGGTATGGTAAAGCCACAACAACCATCTCTCAAGGTTTACTAAATCATTCTTGAGGGATTCCAAAATGAATAAACATAACAGGATTGATGGTAGTTTCTAAAATTAGATCTAGGCCTTCTCGTCCTCTGCTTCTTCCACTGGCACTTGAGCCCCCTGCTTCAGTCTGAAAATTATACAGCCTATTTGTAGCTTTACTACCACAGTCATAATTAGATTATTGAGCCAGCTGCTTAAAACATTGTATCATAGTGATGTGGCATGGATACCGCTGTTTCATAATACCTTTTCCTGGGGGTCCACAAGTTATGTCCAGGCTTGATAGGAAAGTAATAATAAAAATTCTACTAGCCTGCAAGGAGCATCTGTGCAGAGTGCTGCCCTCTTTCTTCCAACAAGTGCTACCTGCCACTATCACAGAATTAAGGAGAAAGACTAGCAACACAGAGGGCATAGCCCTCAGTCCGTTCTGAAAATTAAGCAGCACATATAATCTCTGCAAGTTTGGTACAGCTAGAGAACACCCACCCACTCCCTGAAAATTACCAAACTCGTAAACCCATAGCTCTGCAGGATTAAAATGCTCCTCTTCCCTTAACTCTCTAGTTCCATTGCCTTAGACCACCTTGCTGTTCTCTGTAGCCATCCTGACCAAGGTCTTTACTTGTACCAGATCAGGCTAATAACTTCTATGAGTTTATTTATTTAGAAGGCTGAAATAGTACAAGGCAGCTGTGTTCAAAGTGCTTGGATGTGGGTAGTTTGCAAACACAAATCAGACAGATGTTACTGAATGAACAACTTGGCAGGTGTGAGCAGGATCCCAAGTAGAAATACTTAACAGCCACATGAGCTTCTTTGTGGAAACATAACCTGACCCATCTTAGGCTTGACTAAATCTGCATTTTAAGGCTTTTCTCCTTTGACCTACACCTTTAGTTTATTCTATACGACTTAGCTAAATATGCACTTAAGCTTTCATACTTTAAAATGATATGCCAGCTTCTTTCCTTTTACTTTTAGCTATAGTCTAGGTTTAACTGCAGTTGATGCTTAATGGCTCCAACAGAGCTGAGAAGCTCTAAGTTGTTACGTCTTTATTTCCTCAGGACTCTGCTTTCCATTTTTGGTGACTGTTGAGCAGATTTCAGCAGATAGTGCCACCAACTTCTGTTGCTGACTGATGCTTTATTGGTAAAAGCTTGTTTTTTTAAAAAAATAAAAATGGCAGAGTTCAGTTGCTGTTTTACTTTCTCAGCTTCTCAAGTACATTTTTGAACATGAGTCAGCTGCTAGCTCATGGGGAAAAAAGTACTTGTTTAGTAGTTAACAGAAGAACACACATTTTTTTAAAAAAGAAGGGTTAAATGCATCAGATTTTAATAGGAGTGATCTCTTGTGTGGGTATCATTTAACTGCACAGCTACAGAATGCCCTCTGCTGAACATGTGTGCAAGTAAAGGAGTAAGAATCACTCTTAGCAGATTGTAGGAAGGCATTTTAAGCAGGATTTCAAACCAGGCCTTGAGGTATGCATACAAATTAGTTTTTTAAATAGATGCAGCAGATTGGTAATTTGAAAATGCAGGTCACTTTGAATTGCAACATTTTCCATTATTTTTAGCATATTTGAATGGTTATTTTCATTATATAGCTATCCTTTACCATCCGGGAAAACTTTATTCTGTTTTATATTCAGCTAGATGTAGTTATTCAAGTTCTGTCTAAAAACAATGTTTCAGCTTTGGTTTTCATTTGAAATTAATGCAGCCAGTATTTGTGATTACATATATAATGCAGGTTGTCGCACACATGTCACTTGTTAACATATTAACAGACATACTGTAAATCTTACCACATTCCTTGCTGTTCTCCTCAGCTCTTCCTGTCTTCATAGAATTGTAGAGTTGGAAGGGACCCTGAGGGTCATCTAGTCCAACCCCTGCAATGCAGGAGTCTGCCCACAGTCATCCCTGTGTGGGCTCGAACTACCAACCTTCTGGTTAGCAGCCAGGTGCACTGACCCATTGCACCACCTGAGGGATAAAGACAAACCTTAACTGCCAACATGCACTTGAGCTGTGACCTCCAGAGATGAAGATGATTTCAGATATTGTATAGAGTGGAGTAGAGGCATGATTTCCTAGACCCAATATGATTTTGATGTTTTATTTGGTTGCTACTAGGGTCTGTGGCTGCGTAAACTAAAGCTTGCACAGTCTCATGTGGATTTAGAAACAGGATTATCCAACAGTGAAGTATTAGCAATGTATGTTGTTCTTTATGTGACTCTTGGGAATAAGGACACTTGACCAAATTAGCAATGATTGAGTGAGCCAATGAGTAGGTGGTTATGATTTCCGTTTTCTCTCCTTAAATTTGGTAACCTTTAAAATGTTATCTAAAGGTATGGGGCAGACATGTTTTGTTGCAGCTGGGCCAGATGAAGGTGTGTTGTGCTGCTGCAGATGCACCATGGCGTTTCTGAGGAAGGATAAAGGATTTCACTGTCAATAGGGTTTATGTCAATAGGCTTCCATCTTAAAACACATTGACTCTTGCAAATAAGGAAGAGGTCTTTCTTCAGGCAAATAGCCGTCCAGGCTGAGCAGCAAACACTAGGTCCAGAATGCAAGATTTCAAGGTACATGAGCAAGGCAAGAGGTTCATAAAAACAGAAGTGATGAAGGTGTCCCTTTTGCCAAGCTTTTAAAGATGACAACTGGTTCAGTTATAGGACTCTCTTGCTCTTTGAGCCTGCTGCACACATATGCTCTGTTGGAGTGGATGCCTCTGATCCCACCTATGAAGGTGGCAATGGGATCTTGGTGACAAGGTTGTCTTCTGCCCCTTTGCCTCCAGCGCTGGCACCATCACTTCCTGCCCAGGCCCTCTCTGGCTGGTCAAGGTCTCTCTCCCTCACCCCTAAGACTGTTCACTCTGCAGGAAGGGCAGGGGAGAGAGCTGGCAGTGCTGCTTCCTTCCTCTGTCATCTAGAGTTCCCTAGGTGCCAGCTTTCTGTTCTCCCATCTTCTGCTACTTCCGCTTTCTCTTCTGTTTGGAACAGCCAAATCATGCCAGTTCTTGATGAAGCCAAGGTTCCCGTGATACCTATTGCTCTGGTGCTTTCAAAATGTGGCTATGATGAAGACATTGCTTGCAGAAATGTTTTTTTTTTTTTTTTTAAGCAAGTCCTTGTTTACTCACATAATTGCCAGTATTTCAGTTTTTGGCTTTGTTCCGTATTCACATGTTGGGTGTTGTCAGATGCTGCTAATTTTTCAATCCAATCTTGTGGCAAGAACATTAAGTCAGAGTACATTTTGGTTATGGAGTAAGGAAAGGCAACTGTAAGCATTTATCGGAAACTTGGGTATTTCCTAAAATATAATCTCAGCCAGATGTCTTTTCTTAATGTGTCTGCTCAGCTTGGATAAAGACTGATGTTTTAAAGCTTTTGAGATAATACTCAAATCAAGAAGATAAGTATGAAAAAAAGAGATCTTCCAGAGATGACTGGGAATTTTTGTTGTTGCTTCTGCTTTCGGTGTTCCTCAACACCAGCTGCAGGGTTACCTGATACAAGCTCTGTCCAGCAAGCCACTAAGCTCCTGAATTGCAAACAGATGCCCATTCTATTGCGTGTGCCTAGGACAGTTTACACATTACCTGTTTGTTTCCTTCATACCTTAGTTTTTTCCCCTTCTGACTGATGATTCTTTGTTCCTGCTCCCCTCTCTTAAATATCTCCCCTGCCTTTAAGGGGAATCAGATAACCTCTAACTCTGCTTTCTCAGCTAACCATGGATTTGGTTTTCCTGTACTTCAAAAAGCTGCACTAATACCAGGTAAAATGTGTGGCACTACCCAGAGCTCATTCATCTGAGAACAGTTTGACTGCTGAGACCCTCTGCTTCCATTGTGCAGCATTCTAATAAGGGAATGTTCCCTGTTCATATTTTATTCACATGTATCTGAAAATTAATGCACCCTCTTCATTCTTAAACTCAGAGGAATAACAAAGTTGGTGTCATGGTTAACACAGAGTGCCAAAGATTTATTTATAGAAGAATATAGTATCTTACAGTTTGAAAACACAGGTACCAGGAGGGAAAAATACAGCCAAGCACATTTCATATAAAATTCCGGAAACATACTACTTTTGATAAAAGAATTGGTGAGGTGAGCTTAATATTTGATATGTCACTAGTAATTGCAGATGTAAGGTGAAAAACCAGTAGTCAGATACATCTGAGAATGAGGAGCAATGTGCTTAAACTGACTTCATTGTATTCTCAAGTCAAGTGGAAAAACAAAACGCAGGCCTGGAATCCTGCAAAGGTCAAACTAATTTTCAGTCGTATGACAATGGGTAATCTTGCTAGCAATGGAAAGATGATTGTAAAGTCTCCCTGGTTTCCTTCCTTTACTGCCATGATTTATTTTTCTGGTAATTTAGACTCCTTCAGACAACATTTTGCCATGTAATTTAGTTTAGCAGGATTCTTCTGCATAGTTGTCTGTAGTATGCTGATTGTTTTCTTTAACTATCAGATGACTTAGGCACTGAAAATGCTGTTAATGGAGATATTGATTCCTAATTGTTGCTCTAACGCAAAGCTTGGTTTTCACGTCCATGTTAGGTAGTAAACAAAAGTATTTTACTCCACATGAAGACATGAAAAACACATATTTTTGCAGTTACATGGTACTGGTATTCTTTTCTGCTGCTTTCATTTGTTTAATACCTTTAGACATAGGTTTGGGGTGCTCCTGGTTCTGTCTTCGTCACTTGAGGCACATGTGGCCTCAGTAGCTAGGAGTACCTTTTACCAGCTTTGGTTGGTAATACAGCTGTGGCTATTCCTGAACCAAGATAGCTTGGCCACTGTGATCTTGGCACTGGTCACCTCAAGACTGTCTTACTGCAGTGTATCCTAAGTGAGCCTTCCTTTAGGTCTAACCCAGTGAGTAGAATAGAATAATAGATTAATAGTGCTGGAAGGGTCCAAATTGTCATCTAGTCCAATCTCCTGCTACACAGGAATCACAGCTTAAGAATTCCAAACAGATGGCCATCCAACCTCTGTTTAAAAACTTGAAATAAAGGAGAGTCCATCACCTTCTGAAGTAGTCCGTTCTACTGCTGAATGGTTCGTGTAGGAAACTGTTCTTACTGAACAGTTCTTACAATACAGTGGTACCTCAGGTTACATATGCTTCAGGTTACATACGCTTCAGGTTACAGACTCCACTAACCCAGAAATATTACCTCAGGTTAAGAACTTTGCTTCAGGATGAGAACAGAAATCGTGCTTCGGTGGCGCGGCGGCAGCAGGAGGCCCCATTAGCTAAAGTGGGGCTTCAGGTTAAGAACAGTTTCAGGTTAAGTCCAGACCTCTGGAACGAATTAAGTACTTAACCTGAGGTACCACTGTAAGTTCTTACTGACTAATGTTTAGTCAGAAACCCATTTCTTGTCGTTTGAATCCATGTGTTTGGGTCCTACTCTCTGGAGAAGCAGAAAACAAGCTTGCTGCACTTTCCGTGTGATAGCACTTTAGATATTTATAAATGGCTATTGTTATCTTGCCATTGCTCCTCTTGCCAACTTGATACTCTTTCCTGCGACTCTACTCTCAACCTCATGTTCTTTGTGCTACCACCAGTATACTTTGATTGTCTCAACTCCAGACTGACAGTGGGTACAGAGCCTCTGAAATGCTGCTGTTAAAAACAGGGCTGTGCATTGGCAGGTGAACATATTACTACTCTGTGACTACTGCCAGCTGAGGGAGGATTATGGTGGAAATAGCAGTTCACTTGTTCAGCACTTTCTTCAGATAGTCTGATAAGTGCTAAATTATCTGTACTTCCCCGAGTGGTCCCTGAGATGGCCTGGAAAGTGGAAGAAGCAATCAGGCTTTGGAAGAAGTCAGAAGACAGCATTGTTCCATGCAAGAAAAGGACATTGTTGTTAAATGCACCTTTGCTACTGTAATGACCTATAGCCACATGTAGACCTGAAGGAACTTCCAGCAGAAATATTTGAAACACTTTCCCCGAGTTTTCAGCTTTGATTTCTTTTTCTCAAATCCTGCAGTCCTTTGACTTAGGGGGAAGGGAGCAGAAACAGAATATTTGCAGGAAGTATTCTGTCTAACTTTGTAAGTGATAATCCAACTCCTGTGTTCAGATATTTTATTGAAATAATTTAACTCAACTGTTATTACATTTAGTCGGTTTTGTATTGTCTTTCGTTGCCCCAGTTTATGCCATCCTACCATATTTCCCCCAAGTTGGTAAGTCTCATCTGACAGCAACAACAACAAAAAATGAGCCTTTAGTCTCACTGTCCCATCCCTGTGGAATGCTCTGCCAAAAGTCTGCTGAAAACTTTTTATGCTGCTAAGCTTATGCAGGCAATTAAGAAAATATCTTTCTTAATATCTTGATTTTTAAAAAACAAACATTTTTAGCATATATATGTATGGTTGATGTAAACTGCTTTGATATTTTAAATGAATAGTGTTTTTTAAAAAATAAGTACAACATAAAATGTATGACCATAATACTATGTTCCTTCCTTCATTAAAATGTTCAGGAAAAGAATGTTACTAAAATTATACTTTACTACTCAGCTGCAAAATTTGTGACGTCTTTTGACCTGGTATGCCATACACTTCTTCTGTGGTGGTTGTCATATTGCTGACTAAATTTGTACATAATTTGCAAAGAAAAGTCATTCGTGTACTTCACTGCCCTTAGTAGAGTGTTAGCAAAAGTTTTTTTCTGTATCACAGAGAGTACAGTTTGTAGGCTGCATTGGAAATCATTTGCTAAGCAATAGCTTACCTACATATTATCAGGAATGCTTTACTGTCCTGTGTAATATTCTAGTCGTTTGTGCAAAATGTATCTGCATCCATCACTGTTGTAGAACCCTGGCAATTGGAAAAGTGCTGCAAGGAAAGGTAGCTCATGCAAGAAATTAAGGGATCCTAAGCTTCATTCACTTGACACTCTCATGTACATAGAATTAAAAGGAAGTGACACCATACTTTATAAGGATGTATCTCACATAGCCTGCAATACTAAAATGCTGTACTTGAAAATGGTTTAGTGGCGCATGTGCAAACCCCATTCATGAGAGTGCCTAGTCCCCATGCCTTCATTTAGACCAGGGGTAGTCAACCTTTTTATACCTACCGCCCACTAATGCATCTTTCTTGATGGTGAAATTTCCTTAACGCCCACCAGTGCTCGATGGAAGGAGGATTCAGCTTGTGCTGTAGAACCCCCTACCGCCCACCTAGAATCCTGAAACGCCCACTAGTGGGCAGAAGGGACCAGGTTGACAACCCCTGATTTAGAGGAGAATTTCAGAAGCAAGCGTATAGCATGAGGCTTGACAGTCATACATGTAAAAATGATCTTAGAATTGCAGCTGATCATAAACTTGAACATGTTTTGACAGTGGTGATTCTGCCAAAAAAGATGGAGAGAGAAATGGTAGCATGATTTTAATAGAACTGCAGTTCCCAAGTCATAGGATGTAATATGCTAGTCAAATCTTATCTGGAGTGCTGTATCAAGTTCTTGGCATCAGTGCTTCAAGAAGAATCTAGACAAATTGCAGCAGGTACAGATGAGGGCAGTGGTGAGATGTCACTTGATGTGGTTGAAATAAGTGGGTGAAATTAATGGTATTTGGTCAATGGAACCAATTGCCTAAGGGAGTGGGTGGACTGGCTCTCCCTCACTGCAGGTTTGCAAGCAGAGGCTGGACAGTAATTTGTTTCAGATGCTGTAGCTCTGGGTGTCCTGCATCAGGAAGGGGTTAGAAGCCTCCCAGCCAAGTTTATGATCCTCAGAAATCAGCTTCAAGTGATTTGTCTCGTTTAAAATGTGTGCCAATGCAAGGACCTTCAGGTCCAAGAAGAGATGCCTGACTTTTAAGTTACAGATTTGGAGCTTGCTTAATCCATTTGGATTGAGAAGTAAGGGACTACTCTTCTCCCTTCAAGCTGACTGTTCTGTGACCTTTTGCTAATTTGTAATTAGTGTGATGTAAAAAACAGTCCTAAAGTTCAGAAGAGTAGGTGTTGCCCACTATTTTTATTTTCTCCCCAGGCAAGCTTCTATGTTTTGTTCTGCTTAGCTTGAAAGGTCTGCCTTGGTTCTCAAACACAATGTGGAGTACCCCCCTGGACTGCAAAAACAGCTCTTGTCTCTTGCTGAGTCTCCTGCTTCCTGTGGTTTGCTACTGCAGTTCTTGCAGGCATCAGGCGGGTACCACACACCCTGCAGGTTCATTCTAGTAAAAGAAAACAATTCTGGCTTTTTGTTCAGAGGCACCTTGATACAATAAACACACATGTATCTGTGAGCCTAATGCATCCAGTTCTATATAAGAGAGGGTTGTGCAGTGCTAACAGTATTAACAAGGAACATTCCTTGAAGGAATGAGAATTGGAATTGTTTTAATAGATTAGAATTATATGAAGACACAGCATGTGGCTGTTGGCCCTATATGGGCAAAAGGACAATATTTGGTTTTGGGGTGTGTGTGTGTGTTTTTGCTTTGTTTAATCACTTTTTTATATACTGATATAAAGCCACATCTGCCTGGCTCTATTTTCTGTTAAATTGTCTGTAAACAGAATAAGGAGCCTTGAGGCTATGCAAAAGTGAAAGATACGTATGGAGAAATTGCAGATAGCTCTTCAGAGGAAGGTGAAAAGGCTAAGGTGAGGGGAAAAGGAGGTTGTTCTAACAATATGAATGGAAGATTGCAGCATGAGATACATGATTATTTAGATTTGGCAGCAGTCCCAAATTGATGCAAAGAACATCTAAGGACATGTCTAGTGATGAATAAGTTCCATTGGGTCTCTGCTAAACAAGGTTAGGATTGCAGCCTACTACAATGGTAATCCTGAACACTGTATAATAAACTTGGTGAAAAACCTTGGTGTTTTCTTCCTTTCCAATATTGTTTGCCTATTTAAATTTGCCCATTAACAGCTCTCAGGTGTGTGTGCACTTGCAGAATAATGCTGCTGCCAGCCTGACCCCTCTTGACCTCACTATCATGTCACCCCATCCTGCTGAGCAGCAATGCTGCCAGGAGAGCACCAAAGCCACTCTGCCCCCTCAGTGCATTGATTCCGTTGGTAAAAATCAAGGCCTTCGCATGACAATTTTTCTTGTTTCACAGAAAGACTTCTGCAATATATGCCCTTGTTGGTGTGCCGTGTCACTGGCCTCTTTCAAAAGAATTAATAAAGATCTCAGTTTGGAGAGACAAGTTTGTCCCTGTGTGCAAATTGTGGGATATGTTTAGCAAATAATAACATCTTGGAGATCCTGGGCCTCAGGGAGATTAGGCTTGCCTCGGCCTTGGCTCCGGCCTGGTGGAATGCTCTGTCACAAGAGATCAGGGCCCTGCGGGATTTGACATCTTTCCGCAGGGCCCGCAAGACGGAGTTGTTCCGCCAGGCCTTTGGTCAGGGCTCAGCCTGACTCCCCTTCTCTTTTTGTATAAGAACTAGAATGAAAGAGGCCTCCCAGCATTCTCATAGGCCTATATAAGGACAGCGTAAACACCTGGGCCTGATGAGCATTTACTGTTCCCAACCCTAATCCTGCAGAAAGCCATCTAATTAGATTTTAATTTGATCCTGACTTGTTTTTAGGAGGTAACTTAATTATTGTTTGATTTTATACCAATGTTATATATCTGATGTTAGCCACCCTGAGCCCAGTTTCGGCCGGGGATGGTGGGATACAAATAAAAATTGATGATGATGATGATACAGAGGAAGCTGAAGCAGCAGTATATGCCACCCAAATCTGCAAGACATGCCATGCAATTCTAAACGTATAGTAATTACAAGCATATTCTGTTTATGGTGAAGATGTGTGTGAAGAGAAGATAGAATGTGTCCCTGTAGCTTATAAGAACTGACAACTTCACCATCAGTGTGCCATTGGACAGGGGACTTCTGGCTGGGATACTGAAAAACATTTGAAATTTCCCTGAAATTCTTTGCCTGCAAATCTAGAAATGTCAAGAATGGCATTTTTAGTTTCAAAAATTGGTTTGTAAGTTGTGTTTAAAAGAATGGGAAGTATTTTCCTTTGAATGGGAAGTATTTTTTAGACACAGCTGCTTTGTTTAGCATATCAAGAGAAGCAGCCACAGAACTGACTGGACTTGCTACAGCTGACAGGGGGAGGTGTCATCTTTGTGGCCAAAGTAATAATAGACAATTGGAGCAGTGAACTGCTCCATGTAACCATTTTGTCTGCCCCACTTGTGCAGTTATGAAACGTGATTGTGCATAGGTTGCTCAAGTAATGTGGCTCTAATGGCTGGTCCACCTTTCCGTTGTGGGGGTCAGTACATTTGCAGAAGAAGGTACCAGGCCAGGAGGCAGCACTCCGAGTGAGGTGGGACTTCTAGTCAATGATTATCTAGCCCTGCTATAAAACTCAGCCAGTTGCTCCACGATCATGTTAATACAATCTCAGTGTTCAGCCTCATATGCAGGTCCTCATATCCACACTTTAATCTTACCCTGCCTCACCATCTGCTTGCTTGACGAACCAGAAACTATGGCCATCACCTCTTTTGAGTTGGGGGCATCTTGGTGGATCACACTTGACTATATTTTACTGGGAAAGGAAATATCTCAAGGATAGCATGATTTATTCATTTTTAGTCTGTGAAGTCACAATGTGATGCAGCATTTCATAACTCAAAGCAAAAGTTCTTTATTTTGTTGTTATTCTTTAGAAGTGACTAAAAATCAAGGTATACATTGCTAAACTGGCTCTTATAACCAGCTGGGAATCATTGTTTTGCTTATACTTTAATTAAAAGAAACCCACACACCCTAATTGGGTAGCCTGGCCTGGCAATCTTCTGTGTAGATTCCACTGAGGCAAACTTACTTTTCCATAGTACACATACTTACTAATTTTGTTTGGAAGTCTAACACTTACATAGAAGTTGCACACTAATTGTTTGCTCCTTACTGGAATTTCTCATCTCCTCTTACAGTAGGATATGCCTTAAAAACAGGTATGGAAAACCTGTATTCCTCCAGAAGTTGTTGGATTCCTGTCAGCCCTAGCCAGCTATGCCAGTGGTGAGGATGATGAGAACCATAGTCTAACAACATCTGGATGTTGCTAATTTTGCATTACAGTACAAGTTATTTTCCTTCTCTCTACTTTCATAGTGATAAATACCTTACTCTGCATTTTATTACAAAATCATCTTCTTACTCTGAAGAAACCAGAGGGATTGACATGCGTAGAAAGAGCTTCAACTAATATCGAGCCATGGATTCACAGTGGTGCAACCCCATTATTCATTTTGGTACTGGCTAATGAACGCAAAGACAATATCGACTACATGTCCTGGTTTTGATTAATTTTCCTTTGTGTTGTGTCACCCATGGCTGTTGTCATTCATTCCCTCCCCTTTTCAGACAATATCCTTGTGTATTCCAGGTATCAGATTTGATCCATCCATCAGCTGTCACTACCTTGGCAGAGATTCCAAATGTATTTTCTGTGCATGTCTTTTAAGAAAAAAGTAATGTGGCCACACGTACATGTTGCAGGGCATGTGCACACTATATCATCATGCCCCCTGGTGTGTGCTCACTATGTCGCCATGCCCCATTATGTGTGGAAGTGATGTCAGCATGCTATGGGGTGTGATGATGTACTGTGTGCAACCCATGGTCTGCGTGGGTGCATGCCCCGGTGACGGTGCGTGGCCCTGGGCACCCACGGTCATGGGGGCAAGCTGATGCCATTGGCCTCAGAGAGGAGCTTACAGCTGCTTTAATCTTCCTTGTTCTTTTTTTACACCTATACCAAGTTTGGCTTGGCTTGTCCGAACCTGGGTTTGTGATTCAGTTATTTCCATGCTAACTACAAGCTGTAGCCAAAGTCTGTTCTTGGATACAGTGGTACTTCGGGTTAAGTACTTAATTCGTTCTGGAGGTCCATACTTAACCTGAAACTGTTCTTAACCTGAAGCACCACTTTAGCTAATGGGGCTTTCTGCTGCTGCCACGCCGCCGGAGCATGATTTCTGTTCTCATCCTGAAGCAAAGTTCTTAACCTGAAGCAATATTTCTGGGTTAGCGGAGTCTGTAACCTGAAGCGTATGTAACCTGAAGTGTATGTAACCCGAGGTACCACTGTATTTGTGGAACATGACCTTTGTAGCCCATTCTTGTTAAGAAGTGGCATGCCAAATTGTGCATCAGCTTTAATTCCCGAAGAGTCCACCACCACTCATTTCATACTGTTAGTTTTGATAGTGCCTTTTTCTATCTCATGAACAAGAGATGCTAAACGAGTCAGTAATCAGGTACTCTTGATACAGTGTCCATTGCATGGCATTTCCATAGTACTGTGGATATTAATTTATACATAAGCAAAATTATGAGATCACCAAAATCAAGAAAAATAACAATATTCCTTCAAAACATAACTAGGCTATTAACAATATTTCAGACGTTCGGCCACTGGGTCGATGTTCGCTCCCTGTATAAGAGACCTCTGTTGAACAAATGACCTGGAAAAGTGTTTCATAACATGTTTTCCCAATGTAATTTTTAAAATGTAGTCTTTAAACCCCAATATTTTTTTAAAAATAGTAAGTGGTAAGAGGTAATATGAACACTAACCAAGTAGGAAATACATTTCTCAACATGGCAGCATAGACTTAACCGTAGTCATATTCCGCAGTGCAGAACCACATGGGCAGAACCACAAGGGCAGGGCTGAAGAACAGTTTTGCCTTGCTAGCAAGTTCCTTTGCAAGATGGATTATTCTATATCATTTATTAAATTTGTATACCACCCTTCATACGAAGATCACAGGGCAGTTCACAACATAACATGCTGGATGTGGGCACTGAATATAAAAACATTTTCTGAAGGTTAATAAGTATTTAATAAGAGGATTAAAACTAAGTTAAATTAAATGAGATGCAAAGTCTATTTAAAAAACTTATAAAGGTTTATCTGCCTGCACAATTTAGCTTTCCATTCATTCAGGGCTCAATTTAAAGTTCTGGGTTATGACCTTTAACCCCCTGATGTGGTTTTGAACTGGGGTGTTTGAAGTGTAATGAAATGTGCAGTTCACACATGCAACCCAGACTCCTTTCAGGAACTTTTGACACTGAGACCTGAGGATGTCTCGAAAGTAGCACTTCATGGAGTCAAAGAATACCACAGAGTATCATTCAAGCAATTTAATATAATAAAAGGGAATTAGCATATTCATTAAAAAGATGTTAAACAGAATCAATTGACACTGACTTTTATAAGTAATGCACTAATGTTAGACTTAACTCTTTGAAACTAGCCTCACCATTCCAGATAACACAAGCAGCACGGTGACCAGTATACTAGATAGCACTGCAATTCTTATTGCATAATATACATAATTTAGTACAACAAAAACAAAATGTGTACACTTGTAAATTCTCTCATATATTTGAAGTCAAATGAACACACGTCTGTCAATCTTTGAAAGTCCGTAGAAGTATAATAAGTCTATATATTAGAGAATTTACAAGTGTACACATTTTGTTTTTGTTTTTGTTGCATTAAATTATGTATATTATGCAATAGTAAAATTTTAAAAGATGATGCTGTTAAGGTGCTAACACTCAATATGCCAGCAAATTTGGAAAACTCAGCAGTGGCCAGAGGATTGGAGAAGATCAGTCTACATCCCAATCCCAAAGAAGGGAGGTGCCAAAGAATGCTCCAACTACCGCACAATTGCACTCATTTCACACGCTAGCAAGGTTATGCTTAAAATTCTACAAGGCAGGGTTAAGCAGTATGTGGACCGAGAACTCCCAGAAGTGCAAGCTGGATTTCGAAGGGACAGGGGAACCAGAGACCAAATTGCAAACATGCGCTGGATTATGGAGAAAGCTAGAGAGTTCCAGAAAGACATCTACTTCTGCTTCATTGACTATGCAAAAGCCTTTGACTGTGTCAACCACAGAAAACTATGGCAAGTTCTTAAAGAAATGGGAGTGCCTGATCACCTCATCTGTCTCCTGAGAAATCTCTATGTGGGACAAGAAGCTACAGTTAGAACTGGATATGGAACAACTGATTGGTTCAAAATTGGGAAAGGAGTACGGCAAGGCTGTATATTGTCTCCCTGCTTATTTAACTTATATGCAGAATTCATCATGCGGAAGGCTGGGCTGGATGAATCCCAAGCCGGAATTAAGATCGCTGGAAGAAATATCAACAACCTCAGATATGCAGATGACACAACCTTGATGGCAGAAAGTGAGGAGGAATTAAAGAACCTTTTAATGAGGGTGAAAGAGGAGAGCGCAAAATATGGTCTGAAGCTCAACATCAAAAAACGAAGATCATGGCCACTGGTCCCATCACCTCCTGGCAAATAGAAGGGGAAGAAATGGAGGCAGTGAGAGATTTTACTTTCTTGGGCTCCATGATCACTGCAGATGGTGACAGCAGTCACGAAATTAAAAGACGCCTGCTCCTTGAGAGAAAGGCGATGGTAAACCTAGACAGCATCTTAAAAAGCAGAGACATCACCTTACCAACAAAGGGCCGTATAGTTAAAGCCATGGTTTTCCCAGTAGTGATGTATGGAAGTGAGAGCTGGACCATCAAGAAGGCTGATCGCCGAAGAATTGATGCTTTTGAATTATGGTGCTGGAGGAGACTCTTGAGAGTCCCATGGACTGCAAGAAGATCAAACGTATCCATTCTTCAGGAAATCAGCCCTGAGTGCTCACTGGAAGGACAGATCGTGAAGCTGAGGCTCCAATACTTTGGCCACCTCATGAGAAGAGAAGACTCCCTGGAAAAGACCCTGATGTTGGGAAAGATTGAGGGCACAAGAAGAAGGGGACGACAGAGGACGAGATGGTTGGACAGTGTTCTCGAAGCTACCAACATGAGTCTGACCAAACTGTGGGAGGCAGTGGAAGCCTGGCGTGTTCTGGTCCATGGGGTCACGAAGAGTCGGACATGACTAAATGACTAAACAACAACAACAACATATTATGCAATAAGAATTGCAGTGCTATCTAGTATACTGGTCACTGTGTTGCTTGTGTTGTTTGTTGTGTTGTTTGTTGTTGTTTGCAACACAGGGGTTTGTTGTTCTGTATCACCATTCCAGATGAAAGTTCCAAAAAGCATGCACATAGAAACTCTTGGATGCAGTAAATTGGTCAGGGAAAGTGCGTGTGCTGACTGAAGCTAGCTGGGGTGGGGGGCAGATTTGACTGAAGAGAGAGAAGAGGTATAGTACCTGTCTTTAATTTTGGAAGGAACAGCTTGGCATTGAGGGTATCTCTCCAGCAGAAGAAAGTGATTGAGAATGCATAAGAAGGGGAAAGGGGGAATATAAGACGGGGTTCCTGTGCGGAAAGTTTCTTTCACAGCTCCAAAGATTCTTAGTTGCTAAGGCAAAAAGCTGTGGTTTTATGCCCGAAGTCTGCTTCCCTTGTCTTGTTTGTCTTCCCATCACAAGGGATTGTAATAGCTCTGTCTCCATTTCAACTTTTCACATTGCAACACCCAGGACTGACTGACTGGAACTTGCTTGTAAACACAGATGGAGACACTGTAGATAAGTAGATAAATATGACATGCAACCCTTCGTCCTTGCCAGTACCAGGGTGTCTTATAACATATGCACAGATAAAACCAGCTATGCCAAATGTAAAACTTTAAAACTACAATACAATAAATATTTTAAAAACACACTCCCTAATCTAAACACGTAAAAGTTCTTGATGAGTGCCATTCTGTGTTCTAAGTCACAATCCTATCTAGTACTTAGAAGCATACTGAAATTGCTGCTAACATCTCATGGATATTTTGATTGCCCCAAGAGACTGGAGAATTTCTGTCCGGAATGCAAGCTTTGTGAATCTATTTAGATAGACTGCATATCTGTTAAATATACAAGGCATATTATATTTTTTATAAATTAAAAAAAGAAAGAAGGCATAAGCATGCCATGCTAGTGTCCATATTGTATTTCCAGCATATACCAGTAGTTTATTTTGCTTGAGGAAAGCATATTGTCTGGACCACGTGCAGATTTAAGAAACAAAAATATATGGGCATTTTCTATTTGGAAGGTGAGATTTTGGTGCTTCACCTATTTGTTTCTGGCCTTTCTAAAATAGCAGGGCAACTCAGTAAGCATCCAAAAGTTACTCTGCTATTAGGCTGTTCAAGGAAAGATTGAAATTAAGACTTTTTGTGTCTCTTGGGGTTTCTTTTTATCCGTTGTCTAGAAGCATCTTGCTTCCTAACAAGATGATGTTCATATATGAAATATTCATATTCTGTCATAACTTGTGCAGCTCTAAATATCTGAATTGGCTAGGGTGAAATTTTATTAGCATTATATTTTCCTACTGACTACCCTTTGTCAATGGTAGAAGCCTGCTAAATACATTGGCTTGAAATTTCAATAGCGTTTTCTGGGCTTCTGTTATTAAAAAGTACTATATAAACAAGCTTTCACTGATGGGTTTAGAGCCTAGAAAAATTTATTTCTGTTTGAATTATTTTGTTATAACTTAAACTTTTATATGTAAAAAACCCCCCCTGTCTTAAAGTTCTGAGAAACCTAACAGCAACTTGATTGGAATGGGGCTTGCAGTGTGATACTTTAGTGTTTGAGTTATATGCTTTCTTTGGAGCTTCTGCAGATGTAAATTGAGGTTTACTATTTTGCATGGTTGCAAACCAGAATGTAAAATTTCAAGGTAAACAAATGCAGCCTTATGAACAAAAACAAAAAATAGTTAAACTTGCCTTACCTTCCTTTTGCTCTCTGCTGCTTGCATTAGAATCATAGAGATGGAAGGAGTGGAGTATCGATGGTTATCAAGTCCAACCCTCTGCAATGCAGGCTTCCTGCCCACAGCCATCCTGGGTTGGGCTTAAACAAACAACTTTCTGGTTAACGTACAGACACACTAATTCATTGTTCCACAGCGCGGAGCAGCTTTCCCTAATCTGGTGCCCTCCAGGGGTTTTGGACTTCTCCAATAAACCCTTGCCAACATGGCCAATGGTAAGAGATTATGGAAGTTGTAGTCCTAAGTATCTGGAGAGCACCAGGTTGGAGAAGGCTGGTATATAGCCATTATGTGATGGAAAAGTGGATACTATGCACCCTCCTCTAGGTTTCTCTCTCCTCTTCCCAAGTACTTTGGGCCTGCCTCATGTCCACATGTTGAACATGGCAATAGAAAGTCCATTTTGTTAGCTGTAATTCTATGAAAACTATCTGTAACAATTGGGGGTTGCAGAGTTTGCAGATTGAGCTCTTTACATATTGCGGCGAACACATGGGCCTAGAGGATGTAAATGTAGACTCTACAGGAGCAGGAGCAAGCATGGTTGCTACCAGATTAGGTATGTAAGAAATCAGCAATTTCCATTCAGACCTGTATTCATCATAATCAGCACTCTTTCTGTTCCCTTGCAGTTTGATTTCTACCAAATACTACCTTATTCATCTGAATGACTGCTATAGTAGCATTCATCATAATTTCTATCTTATTTCTGTTGTAGTTCTGTCATAATTATTGTTGCTGTTGCAGCACAGCCCTGCAGAAATCAGGATTGAACTCCCTGCCGATCACTTGATGAGCGGAAGGTTAAATCCTGTTTGGTTGGCTTCATTACAGTGGTACCTCGGGTTACATACGCTTCAGGTTACAGACGCTTCAGGTTACAGACTCCGCTAACCCAGAAGTAGTACCTTGGGTTAAGAACTTTGCTTCAGGATGAGAACAGAAATCGTGCTCCGGCGGCGTGGTGGCAGCGGGAGGCCCCATTAGCTAAAGTGGTGCTTCAGGTTAAGAACAGTTTCAGGTTAAGAACGGACCTCCAGAACAAATTAAGTACTTAACCCGAGGTACCACTGTAATTGCAATGTAATGAAATGTCAAAACAATTTACCAGTGTCATTAATTACACATAATTTGTATTTTTGCTGTGTGTTTTTTTAAAAAACAACATTGTGAGCAAATGCCAATTCATATTCACTTGATTGAGTTCCATTCCTGACAAACATGTGAACTGAAGCAGTTGCTGCCTGTGGAAAGAAGGGACCAGAATTAACCACCTAAAGCCGCTGGCAAACAGGATTTATAGTATTATAGGACAATGGGCAATTGACAGGCACTACTCGATCTCTTCAAGAAAACAATTGTCTTCTGCAATGTGATACTATGGAACAGGCACCCCCAACTTTCGGCCCTCCAGATGTTTTGGACTACAATTCCCATCATTCCTGACCACTGGTCCTGTTAGCTAGGGATCATGGGAGTTGTAGGCCAAAACATCTGGAGGGCCGCAGGTTGGGGATGCCTGCTCTAGAACCTTGCTAAGGAATTATTACTCACATAACTTGCAGTTTATAGAATTCACTGTGACAAGTTGTCAGAGGTGGATTTGGGGCAGCACAACCGGTTCTGCAGCAATGGATGCCAAGTCTAGAGGCTGCTGCAACGCATCACAACTATGACGTAGTGAATTGAGCAGAATGGAGAGCAAGAGGTGAGGGGGGCATAAAATTTTGGCCTCACACATTGTGCCACTGAAATTTGAAATAGCAAAGTCCTCCCCTGGAGTTGTGGAAGTAGCCATTTGTTTAAGATTGAACAATTCATGGGAGCTAAGTCTGTTAACGGTTAAGTCACGATAACCAGAACTAGTATCCTGAATATCTGTTGTTCAGAAGAACAGTGTGAGAGGGGTAGTGCCTTCATGCTCTGCTTATGGACTTTCTAGCAATATCAGGCTGACCACCTGGCAGTGATTCTGAACTAAGTGGACCTTCTGAGTTGATCAACTTTGCTGCCCTTAAGAACATGTAAGAAATAAGCTGCTGTTTTTGCCACAACCATCTGTAGACATATTTATTTTGTTTAGAAGAATTCTACCTGGCTTTTGCAGTGCTCTTGGTGCCTTACAAAACTGTCCCATAAGAAGATAAAATAGCATAAAATGGAAACAAGCTCTGCATGTTAAAAATATATACGCCGTATTTTTCGCTCCATAAGATGCACCTATCCATAAGACACACCTAGTTTTTAGAGGAGGAAAGGGGAAAGCCCCGTTTTTGGGGGGATCAGCTCACAGTTGTGCAGCTTCTTTTGCAAAGGGGAAAAGCCCAGTTTTTTTGAGGATCTGCTCAAAGTTGTGCAGCTTCTTTTGCAAAGGGGAAAAGCCCCGGTTTTTTTGAGGATCAGCTCAAAGTTGTGCAGGTTCTTTTGCAAAGGGGCAAAGCCCCCTTTTTGAGGATCAACTCAAAGTTGTTGAGCTTACTTTGCAAAGGGGAAAAAATCCTGTTTTTATGGGGTTCAACTCACAGTTCTGCAGCTTCTTTAGGAAAGGAAAGGGAGCCCTTTCTACAGTTTCCAGATAGATAATCTAATCAGCCAGTCATATGTCGCTGGGGAAACAAACAGCCTCTGTCTGCAGAACATTCAACGATGGAGGCCTGGGCAAGGGGGTGGGGCTGGAAAGGGAGCCAGCGATCAACCACACATTCGCTCCATAAGACACACAGACATTTTCCCTAACTTTTTAGGAGGAAAAAAGTGCATCTTATGGAGCGAAAAATACGGTATATCTAAAATAAAGGTCTGCCATATCAATCATCTTCATCAACCTGGAAATCCATGCCAGAACCTTGCCTCCTCTCTCACCTGTCATCTAGGGACAACCATTCCATCAGGCTGTCTCAACAGGACAGAGAGGTAGGAAAGCTCACCCCATTGGCTTTGCTGGAGGCCCAGCTCCATCAGCCCCCTCCTGCCTCCAACTGTGCAAGCTGGTCAATTTAGAAGCAACTGTCTAGAAATTGGTGCCTGAGTTTTGATTTTAATGTCCATTTTCTCTCCTTACCTTTCCCTTGTTTGTTGTGGTTTTTCTTCTTTATATTGTAAGCCTGTAGGTAGGGGGTTTCTTGTTTCGATTTTATGTAAGCTGCTCCGGGAACCTTTTTGGCTGAAGAGCAGAGAACAGATGATATAAATAAATAAGAAATAAAATAAAAATCGTAAGAGAGGAGAACAAATGGATCTCACTGGATTAAGGTATTCCACTCGGGTGCAGCCATGAGGAGGCCTTGTCTCACTTTTCCTCTCAGTTGTGCCTCAGCCATAATAATAATAATAATAATAATAATAATTTATACCCCGCCCATCTGGCTAAGTTTCCCCAGCCACTCTGGGCGGCTTCCAATCAAGTGTTAAAAACAATACAGCGTTACATATTAAAAACTTCCCTGAACAGGGCTGCTTGCAGACAAGACTCTCCCCATATAAGCTGTCCCAGACTCTGTGCTCATCGTCTGAGATCCTTCTTTGTGTGCCTCTTCCACATGCAGTCTGGAGGGTCACAACACAATAACGGGCCTTCTCTGTAGTGGATTCCTGTTTGTGGAATGCTCTCCCCGAGCCTTGTCTGGTGCCTTCATAAAATATTTTTAGCTGCTAGGTGAAAACATTCCTTTTCAACCAGGCCTTTGGCTGACTAATACAGTGGTACCTCGGGTTAAGTACTTAATTCGTTCCGGAGGTCCGTTCTTAACCTGAAACTGTTCTTAACCTGAAGCACCACTTTAGCTAATGGGGCCTCCCGCTGCCACCGCGCCGCCAGAACACGATTTCTGTTCTCATCCTGAAGCAAAGTTCTCAACCCAAGGTACTATTTCTGGGTTAGCGGAGTCTGTAACCTGAAGCGTATGTAACTCAGGGTACCACTGTATTCTACAGCCTTTTAAATATGTCTGTGGGAAGGGGGGTTATTGTTTTGCTGTTTTGTTTTACTTATTTGGCTGTTTTTATCCTGTATTTTATTCTGTGAACCACCCTGAGATCTTATAATGGAGGGCGGTATATAAATCTAATAATACAATACAATACAATAATAAGGGCCTCCCTCACAGGTCTTAGGCAGGCTGGCATATGGCGTATCTTATTTTTCAAAGCTCTTTTACACCTGTGCATTTTGTTCCAGCATACCTTTTTTCTTTTCTGATTCAGTCAAGGTTCCCTGCCTTGCTTGCTTTAGAGTAAGCCCCATTGAAATTTAGTGGGCAAAATGTTGGGTTGCTGTTTTCCCTTTGTATTCTATACTCTGTCAAGAAATCTCAGTAAGGGTTTCTGTTACATAACTTCGTGGTGCATTTGTAACTATGCAATTATTAGTCTACAGCCATTTCTTCTACATAGTAATTTTATTGTAAGGGCAACGTGATAGCAGAGGTAGACATTCAAAATCCTAAAGGAGTTCCAGCTTTTCAGTAATACTCATGTTGCTTAAAGGCAGCTGGCTTATTTGAAGAGTATGTCTGTGCCGATATCCTCTGTAAAGGAAGGTTCTCTCTGTTTTAATGTGTATGGGGTGAAGCCTTAGAGGCCTCCATTCTCCTGATTATTAGCATAATAGGGAAAACAAACAGCGTAGAATAAGACAATTTTCTTACATACAGCTGTGTCATGTGGATAAGGATCTGACAAGGCTATAACCCTTTCATTTAAAGAAATAGGCAAGGTTTGACCTTTCAAATCATATTAATTTCTTGTTTTAAAACTCATCCTTTGTTTGACAATCTTAAGTAATGCTACACATAAATGAAATGCTTCTGTTTGGCCTTTTCTGAATTCTGAGGCTTGCCTTAGGCCATGGCTCAATAAAATAGCCCAGTGATTTGAAAACAATGCATATTTATTTTTGATTGCTTCCTGCAAACAGCTAGGCCAAGAAAACTGAGGAGGGACCTTGTGGTATGGTAAGCACAGAGTCTTCTACAACAACCTTATCTCCCCAAAATGACAATATCGGACCTAAAAATAAATCTAAATCTTTAGAAAGCTATCCTATCTTGACATACCAGTCATTAGCAGGAGAGGGGAGGTTGGTGCCTTTGGGGATTGGTAAGACAGAAGACAGGGATTCCAACACTGGTGGGAGCCAAAGGAAATGACTGGCAGAGTTAAGGCAATGGAGCCAACTAATTCTGGTTTTGACCCCATCCTCTTTCCTGCTGACTTCAACAAAGGCAACACAGAGACTAAGGAGGAAGAGGCTGACAGCAGTACCATCCCCTATATTGGTTTTAAGTTAGGAGGTAGGTAAATAGAGGCTAGCTGAGGGCAGACTGAGCTTCATGGGGCGGTGCTACTGTAATGATCTCAAGCAGGCAAGCAAGCACCGATAAGAATTAATGAGTCTGGCAGTTTTATGTATGTTTATTTACAATTTACATCCAGAGAGCAGCTCCGGTCCTGCCGCCCTTAGTTGGTCACTCTGAGACTCTGCCCTGTCACAGCACGAAGGGCACCAAAGTCCAGTCCTTTCTCTCTTACACTTCTGTTGCATTGCAACCCTTTCAGCTGTTCCGGTTCGGGGAAATGAAGATATTAAATGAAGATCCCTCTAAATTCTGCCTCCCTCCTGGTTGCATAGCAACTCCCTCAATGTCATCTATCTCTTCCCCTCCTTCTGCCTTTGAGCTTTCCGAGTCTGGGAAGTCTTGGCAAAGGAGGGCCGAACTAGCCCAGCTCTGGCTGTGGCTGCAATTCCTCATCTCTAGAGTCAGACTCTGCCTCCCTATGTAGAGGCATTCCTTCATCTCCAGAGTGACTACTCCCAGGCATTTGATTCAGCCACATCCATGACAGCTACTCATCCTAATGGAGCAGTCTCCACTGTTTCTCAGATTTATGGCCTGAAGGAACTCCCTACATGTTCTCCTAAACTGATGAAGATACTGATCAGCTTTCACAAACTTTCACAAAACTAAATGGACTAGATCTTGGTTTATGCTTTTTCACATGTGGTTTTTGGATAATATGTAGTTTAGAGCTGAGGTAGCTAAAGTGGTTCCTTCCAGATGGAAGTCCAGCATCCCTTACCATTGACCATGCTGGCTGGAGCTGATGGGAGTTGAAGTCAAATAACACCTGGAGGGCAACACATTGGTTACTCCTGGCTTACAGAGAAAGAACACAATCATTTATCTCTTCAGGTGACAACTCAGAAGTCCGTATTCTTTTCCATGCCAGAGATAAGCATGAGCTGCAGTGGCTGCTAAAGTACTATCAAGGACTCTTGTCTTATGTCTCTGCCTTTTCCCTCCTTTCATGATACAGAGAGTTGAAGGGGACCTTTCTGACATGTACTCAGTTTCTTTACAAGCACCTGCTTTTAAGATAAAGATCTGGTTTGTAAGGCTGTAACCTTTCAGTGAAGGAACAAATTCTTTTAAAAGGAAAGTGAGCTTCTTTCTCTCTGTTATTACTATGGCATTTTCAGAGATTTTAAACAACGATTTAACCACTGATTGGAGAAATCCAGAATAGACTTTGTAACAGAAGCACTACTGAAGATCTCTTGGGCATCGATAGCTATTGCCAACTACTGTTGCCTGAGGTATCTATAAAAATATTAGAGGCATTAAGATACCTTGGCTATCTGTTGTTGTTTTTTTGTAGTTGGTTCCTGGTTTCCACTTTTCCCGTTCAATATTATTATAGCGGGAAAACAGAATAAATTCCTATGGTCCTGGCGCTATTCTGCCAGAGGACATGCTACTGTCAGGCTGACAGAGATGTACACTGAAATACAGCTTGTGTAACTTAGGAACAACACCTTCTGTGGTATCAAGAGTGCCTGTGTAGTGCAACAATAAGAACAGAACCTTTCAAGAAAGGAGCTTTTATTGAGAGAACAAAATGTATGGGTTAACAATTGAAGAATATTCCAGAAATAGAAGATGTAAAGGGGAATGAGATAGCAATGAGTCAAAGGAGGCTGCTTGGTGATGCATATGGAGAAGGGGCTGCAGTGGTGGAAGCCAGAAAGCTGGCAGCGGTAGAGAAACAGGGCAAATTAAACCTTGCCCTACTTCTACTGTCTTCAAACACATGGTGAACTGAAAATCCTTAACATCTGGTAAATTGTTATGAAGAGGTAGGAAGAGAAGAGTGCAGCTATGCTTGACCAGACAAAGATTGCTTGAGAAAGGGGACACAGAAATGGCCACCTGAAGTCAGGAGTTTTAAGGGCTGGTACTGCAATGTCTGCAAATAGGAAGTATTTCTTTATTTCCAGGTGAACAAAATACAGTTGTCTTTTCCTTTTTTACTCTAAGCAGGTGTGGTACACTGCTGCTTGAGAGTGTTTGTTTGTTTGTTTGTTTGTGTCCCGCCCTTTCCCCTGACAGGAGTCAAGGCATCTTACAGATACAAACAATAACTACTAAAAACACAGAAAAATCAATCATAAAAATATAATTAAACATTGATGGAATTAAAACTATATACATATGCATATATAAATTATGTCTAAAATATACCCACAGTTGCAATAAAAACATCACAGCACCAGCAGTCGATACTGAAAAGCCTGTTGCAACAAGAAAGTCTACACCTGCTGGCAGAAGGACAGCAAGGAGGGAGCCAGTGTAGCTTCTCTAGGGAGAGAGTTTCAGAGTCTGGGAGCAGCCACCAAGAAGGCCATTAAGTGTGCCTGTGAGGGTGACAGGACCTAGAGAATGGCCTCCCTTGAAGATCTCAAAACCTGTGCAGGCTCGTTTGAGGGAATATGGTATTTCAGATAGCCAGTTGATAGGTGATGCATTGTTGTCTGTGACTCTGGTTTCTCCACTTCTCCCACAGGAAAGCACCTTAGACTTTCTCAGATATTTTTTTTTAATCTAAGAAGAAACGCTCAGATCTGATTCAAAGAAATTTCTCCGTAGAGAACTTTCAGTGGCAACTCTACTCTGACTCTCGTTCTGTTTTGTTTAGGTTTATAATGGTGACTGTTGATTCCCTTCTTCCATATCTGTTTTCAGCCAAGCATAATGGCAAAATTCTACTCGACTAATGTATATTCTGCTGCATTTATATTTTAGCCTGCCAATGGTAGAATTACAGCTAAGGACCTTTCCCTTTTTAAAATTGTGTGTTCAGTTTCATTGTAGTAAATGTATTCCCACTTGTCTAAGAATACTGCAGTACAGGAAAAAACATCTTATTCCCATGCATAGTTAGCAGGTGGAGAACATGTCGTGTATCTTAATAAACTTGTTTCTACTGCGTGTTTCATCAAATTACTGAGTAGCTTTCTCATGATGTGTAGCAAGTAGCCTTTTGTCAACTTCTGTGAGCTGCTTTTGAGTGACGCTGGTGTTAAATATCCCTTTTATCTGTTAAAAGCACATTAGAATTTAAAAACAAATGTTGAATGCTGTGGCTGTTAACAGAACTTTATGTTTGTGGTTCAGTTTATGTTCTAACCTGTCCAAAACAAACATTTTTTTATGATATGGAAACATTATTTGTCTGGAAAATGATTGCTGTATTGTAGAACTGCTGTAATAACACAAAATGGTTAACTTCAAGGTGCTAAACTTTTAATTGTTCGTTTGCTTCAGTTTTCAGGCCTTTCTGAAAAATCAAAATGTTTTTCCCTCTGAAGTTGAGATATTCATTTTGCAGCCATAGGAATATCAATAGCTGTCTGCCCGTCTCTGTTGTCTGTTTTTTATTTGTTGCCATTTGTGTATATATGTTCACATCACCAAATAAAATTATATCCTTTGTTTAGTATTGATAAACAAGGATAATACAGTGGTACCTCGGGTTAAGTACTTAATTTGTTCTGGAGGTCTGTTCTTAACCTGAAACAGTTCTTAACCTGAAGCACCACTTTAGCTAATGGGGCCTCCTGCTGCTGCTGCTGCGCCGCCGGAGCACGATTTCTGTTCTCATCCTGAAGCAAAGTTCTTAACCCGAGGTACTTTTTGCTGGGTTAGCGGAGTCTGTAACCTGAAGTGTATGTAACCTGAAGCGTAACCCTTTCATTAATATTATTAATGAAATTATTTATATTATTATAATAATAATAATTATAATTATAATATAATAATAATAATTATAATAATAAATAATAATTATATTATTATTTCATTAATAAAAAAATGAAATAGATTGCGTTGTCATATATACCACCCGTCCTAGAAGAGTTCAGTGTTATATTTGAATTCTATGTAGGTGATATGGGAGTCTTGATTTTTGTCCTGCTGAGGTTGAAAGTCCAGAAGAGGGACATAATTCATTCCCTTGAATTTTTATTTTATTTTATTATTTCCCACCATTTCCTCCTGCTGGAAGCCGGTGATTAATGTTAACTATAATCAAGGCTGTTCTTACAAAAGGATTTGGAGGAAAGACTATAGTTAAATATAGCTATTTTCACGCTTCGTTCCACATATTTATTCAATGCACAGAGCGGAGCAGAAAAACACCAGCTGGTTCTGCCCTCTCTTCCACACTTTAGGTGGAACAACAGGCTTTACACATCCACAGCTGTATATGTAGGTCCTGCACACTTGCAAAAGTCTAGGATGACACATACAGTTGTACACGTGTAGCGCCAGCACATGGAGTCAGGGGCAGTCACCATAATTTCACATTTCCTTTCTCTGCATCCACATTTTGTTTTTTCTTGAGGCACAGGTATGATACGTTACGAAAATATCTTGTCTAAATCTTATATATTCTCCCTGAAGCATCTACTTTTTTTAGAACAGAGAATTATTATTATTTGAAAAAGAAAACAAATAATCTAGGTTTCCTAAGTATGAGAAAACTGACTCGGGGTAAAACAGTTGTTTTCAGAAGTCTCTACCAGACTAGAGGAAGATCTAAGGATAAAAACCACGGAGGACTCTCTTTTTGTCTTTGTATGGCTGTGTTTCAGCAGAAAAGACGCATCATTTAAACCAAACATTCACTAGTCAGAAAAAAATAATGTTACAAAAATATACCAGTGTCAAGCAGTAAATTTTCTAGCCGCTTTCCCTTCAACTTTACTGCACTTCCCGATTGTACAGCATTGATTTTCATTAGCATTTTCCTGCATTTGCTGACTTTGTACTCTCCTTCTAGAATAGATCTATGTAGACCCACTTGTTGGGTAAGTTCTCCTTGTATGTCTCAAAATATTTTCATGGCTTGAATCAGGATTTCCAAGCAATGTAGTATACAGCAAGCACATCTTACGTGGGTGTTACAATCTGACGTTGTTGCGTAGAACCAAAATAGTGTATAGACAAAACACATTGGGTGCATTGATGGGTGGGATTGCTAAAGTCTTTGCCCCCAGATGCTCGTTTCCTTTCCTCCACCCTTTTATTTATTTTTTTAATTGCCAAGCATGTAAAGCTGAATGCATAGAAGTTAAATGTGTGTGAGTGTACTGTAGTTGCAAAAATCAGCTAGGCATTGAGGAAAACGGAGGCACAAATATGTCTTCAGTCTTTGTCCTTTGATGTCTCACCTATTAAGTTCTTTGTGGACAATATTTCTAAATTGTACTTCATGTGTAGCGCTCCCCTGAGTAGAGCAGCCATTGATGAATCAGGGGTAATTTGGAGATCCCTCTTGGGTGAAATTGGCATTTTTGTGGGAAACAAAACTATTATCACATATATATCATCTCGTATTTCTTACTGAGGTTCAAGTTCAAGGCCCTATAAAAAACTTTTAGTTGATGTACCTTGTTGCTATCTGCTTCTCATTAGCATTTGGATGGCCTGTTAAGAGTTTGACTGAAACGTTCAGTGGGCCAGGTTGATAATAAATTGGACTTGAGTTTTGCTTAAGATAAAATTTCAAAGCAAAAAAGCATTAGAGGTTCCTCTTTGGGCAAAGTATCCATGGAACTGTGGATGAAGTGTAAAAAACAACAACAACCATAATAAAGTTTTGCTAAGACTGGAACATTTCTTAGGGTGGTATCGCTATTCATGGGTTGTGTTCATTTGCATTGTAGCATCTGACATTTAAAGTGCAGAAAGTTTAGTTAAGGAGAAGTATCTAGAGTTTTATTACATGCAGTTTCAAGGTTTTTTTCTGCTATCAAGATGCCTGTTGTTTATTAAACATTGGAATATTGGCTTTTAAATAAATGAAATGTTGTCCTCTTTTATAATTAAATCTGTCAGGATGCCAGTTTGAGGATAAAATAAGAGCCTTGGATGTAGTTCCTACAAACTAATTTTAATGGATGTATTGAAATTAATAGCCCAAAGTTAGTCACGTCCATTAATTTCAGTGGATTGTTGGACACAGCCCAATGTGGCTTGTGAGAGCATATGAGAGATTTTGAAAAACCTGTGTCTGGGGTTTGGGGGCCATGCTGTAGGCCATACCAGCTGGGGCTGTTAGGATTTGCATTTCCAACAATGACTGAAAGGGAAAAGTTCCCTTCTCTTGTCTTATAGGGTACTCCTTCCACTCATGTCACAGATGGGAACTGAGCCAAATATACATTGAGTGAGATTAGCTATTGTGGCATGGTTTGAACCTTCCTTTCCTCTCCTGAAATGGTTGATGACAACAATAGGATTCAATTCTATTGATATTTCGTCCAATATATGAGGCATCTAAACTTGACTTTTGCAGAGATTGCCTAAATATTTACATATGGTTTGGAATTTGTTTTAATTTTGCCTGCTTTTAACGAGGTAGCCTTTATCTCCAAATTCTGTCTCTGGTCTAATGTAAAGCCTATACTGGTCCCTCCTTATTATTGGGGGGGGACGGGACCCCTGCAGGATTAAAAAATGAGGAAGTGTAGAAGTCTGTTAGGTGATATAAGCCTTTGGTTTGCCAGGTTTTTATCTGGGGGTTTTGTGCTGTGTGATGTGGTGATGTGCCAGGGGAATTAGTGGGGATGGGGTTGGGGACAGTTTACCTATTTCTGCTTTCCATGCTTTAAGCATAGTCTGTGTGTACCTGTTTAGTGTTGTGGGAATTTTCCTTAGTTAGTTTGGGAGGAACAAATGAAACTGATCTGTAGAAAATGTAACTTGGAAGAAAAAAAGACATTGCACATACTTTTGTAAACCAAGAAATCTTTAATAAAAATATGTTAAAAATGGGGGGAAAATGAGTAAGTGTGGGCTATGCACAGAAGCCATTTCATGTAATCTAAAAGGCTGAGGGGAAAAGACATGGATAGAGTAATAAAAAGGTATGCTCAACATGGGCACTAATAAAAGAAGAACTAAGCATCATTACAAGGTCAATGTAACTAAATTGGTATCTTCACTGTATTATAAGAAAGTAATGAGAAACACCTTCAGTCTCAAACAGAAGTCAATAGAAAATCAACAAACAGCTACTGCAGACATCCTTTATCTAGCAAGAATCAGAGTCAACATGCTAGCATTCTGGAATAGCACACAAAAAGTCTTTTAAAAGAGGACAAACAACTTCCAGCAAACAGCAAAAGCTGCCATCCCCATTATTTTATCTCTCCGCAGCATGTTGGTGAAATAATGAAAGAAATACAGGTCAAACCAGCATTTTTTCAGGCATAAAATTGCACACAATTTAGGTTTATAGCACCAGATGGCCACAGAAGTGAAGCTAAATTGAGTGCTGCGTGAGGCAGGGAGAGAACAGGGAATCTGAAATGCAAGTTAAAGATAAGGTGGCAGACATTTCTCTCCCCAGACGTAATCACAGCAAAGCACCCTATTATCAACAGCATTAGAAACATTTTGAGATAACGGATAATGATTGAAATTATGCTAGAGATAATTGTTTTAGAAATGAAGATCTAAACGTGTGATCAACCTACTTCAGAAAGGTGAGTTCCAGACACTGATATAAGACCTAAACTGCTATTTCAACACATCATACAACAATATAGTGAAATAATAGATAAGTGATTAACTATGCATTGCACTTAACATCTAACATAGCACTCAGAGTGTAATCGCCCTAATTTGCAATTGTAAATCTCTTGTTATCAATTAATTTACACTGCACAAGTAACCATCTGATTATCTTCTTACATACCAGTATTTACACAGTAATTAAATTGTAACTAATTAGCATGTAATTGCACATACTTATTTGTACCTTGTAAAGTGAATGATGTATTTAAACATAGTTGAAATACTTGCAATTAAGAAAACATGAATACTTTTTATGTCACATAATTATGCATATGACTGAACAGTCTCCCAAGTAATTTGTCTGGGAGTGGGGTGCATTGATTGTCTCAGTTGGCCTTATGAATGTAATTTTGAAGGAGTGTGCCCTTTCTTTACTTTTGTAGCTTAATACTTTTTAAACTACCTGGAGTTAGGAGTACCAATAAGTAATCAAAATATGCCTACAGTGGTGCCCCGCAAGACGAATGCCTCGCAAGACGGAAAAACCGCTAGACGAAAGGGTTTTCCGTTTTAAGTTGCCATGCAGGACAATTCCCCTATGGGCTTGCTTCGCAAGACGAAAATACCTTGCGAGTCTAGAGATTTTTTTCGCTTTCCCCTTTATCTAATCTGCTAAGCCTTTAATAGCCTTTTAGCAGCTAATCCCTAAGCCTTTAAGCCTTTAGTAGCATTAAACAGCTGATAGCGCTAATAGCGCTAATCCGTCAATGGGCTTGCTTCGCAAGACGAAAAAACCGCTAGACGAAGACTCTTGCGGAACGGATTAATTTCGTCTTGCGAGGCACCACTGTATTTCCAAGTTATACCTTCATGCCACTTTAAAACATTCCTCCAAATTTTCCTCAGAATTATAACTTACAGATGAGAGTCCTATTGGAGTCATCTGAAGCCATCTGAAGCGGTAAGATAATAACCTTAACACCTGGCGTGGACAGATGCACACTGCAAAGTAACCATAACCAAAAGACTACCCTATTAAGATGCTTTTGGAGGATATGCTGTATGAATGTCATCAAGGGCAATGGCAGTTGTGTGATTTGTCCAGTCATTTATAACTCAAGTTTTATTTTTATGCTTCTTACCTTTCCAACAGTGTGAATTGCTCTGTAGAAAGGTTTTGACTTAAGAACAAAACTCTTATTCTCCTACATGTGAGCAATAATGGCACACTTGAATCGTATTGGTTCAGGTCCTACCCTCCGAAGCAGAAGAAAATAAGTTTGCTCCACCTTCCATGTATGACAACCCTTTATATACTTGAAGATGGCTATCATATCTCCTCTCAGTCTTCCATTTTCCAGGCTAAACATACCCAACTCCATCAACTGTTCCTCATAAGACTTGGTTTCCAACAACAGGTTGATTCAAACAACGGGCCCAGAAAAGAACCCTGCAGTACCCCACTTGTCACTTTCCCCCAGGATGATAAGAAACTATTTGTGAGCACTCTTTGATTCTCCAGAGGTTTTGTTTTATTGAGGACAACATTTGTCGACCACCAGTCCGCATGGACATGTTTCTGTGTGTTGTGTTACTCCAGAGGTTTGACTTCTGCAATGGCCGATTTTCCTCCTCCCTAGGGGCACCCCACCTGCATTGCTGTTTCAGGACAGTCCACTCTGCTCTGTCAATAAATTCTTCATCTTGCCCAATAGCTCGAAGAGTGAATAGGTGGGCCTCGTGTTGCTGTATATTCTCTTCCAGGAAGGCAAACAGCTTGCACTTGCTAAAGGTGTAGTTTTGTGCATTCTCAGACAGGAAGGCAAACATGGCACAGCAGTTCCTTCACCGTCCTTGTCTCTTGGTCCTATGTCCACTCCTGACCTCTCTCTCAAACTGCCTCAGTAAAACGCTGTTTACAAGTCCTAGTCACAAGCTTCCAGAGCCTGCAAACAGCTAAACAGAACTGCTACTGGCTGCTAACTTGATGATGGTGGCCGGGAAGATTGGGCTCCAAAGCCCAGAAGCCCAAGGTTGTAACCTGTTCTGGAAACCGTATGGTAAAGGGCCAGTAAAAGTCAAACAAACAAAGCAGACACATAAATAAGTAAAACAAGCAGGACATGAGTGCAACAGCACTCTTTCCCTTGCTGGAAAAGATTTAGAGGTGTAACATAAATGTACTTGACACCAAGAAAGCAAACTTGCATTGCCTCCTCACTTAAAAAAGCAAAACAAAAACTACCTAAGATTGGCATACCATGTTAATTATACATTGTTATAAGTGGTGTAGTTGATTTATTCTATGCAAATAAGGAAAGAATCACTTAATCAGCAGTTCAAACACAGTATGTGTATCAACTGAAAGCAAAGCAAATTGCAATGTGTTTTATTTCAAGCTGAAAGGTAATGAATATGCCGGAGTGTCATAGTATGAACTATATTTTTAAGTAATCATTTATTTTCACTGACAGGTGCACTCCTCTTGCGTTTACCTAAGAAAGCTGCTTCCCAGCATATTTTTTCATATATATCCTGTATCTTTATTTTTAATACATCGGAGTGCACAGATGATTCTCTCTAGAGCATATGAAAAGCATACATTAAATAGGAAGGAAAAGATAAGGTCGAACAACTAATATCCTTGGCTTTTAAATAAGCCTGTAAATCATGCTTTTTTCTTTACTTCTGACAATTGTTGCAAATAGGTCGGATATCTAAGGATGATATTGTCAATACAAAGCCAGGAAGGTCAGTGTTCATTTCATTTGTGAAACTAATTACATCAAACAAATTTCATTTTCAAACCCCAAAATCAATTGATGTGTATAAATCTGTTCCCTAATGATGGATACATACAGTTTGTTATCATCTTGTAACGTTTTGAGATTCAATTTTCACTTTTATGGAAGTGGTGAGCAAATTGCTTTTGCTTGTTTTACTATACAGTATTTAACTAATCCCAGCACTAGGTATTTCCCCAACAGAAAAAAAATGATACTTTCAAACTGTTTATTCCAGAATTAGAAGCACTCATATAAACTCTCATTCAGTTACATAGAATTGTGTACTAACTACAACAGAGTATCGGCTTTAAGGTACAGTAGGCTCACAATGTGTGGGGGCTACCTTCCGGGAGGGGGTGTGTGGGTAAAGGTGAAATTGTCTATACAGGAGTCAGAACCAGCCTGGAACTCCCCCACCCAACCCCCTCCCATGCAGCCATCCTGACCTTTCTGAAGCTGGTTTCCTGAGCAGGTCTCACTCCCACTTCTGCAAGATGGAGAGCTTTTAAGCTTTGCACCTTGCTTATTAGGCTCTACAAGACTTTCAAGAATCTGGGCTGTCCAAAATCTTGTGAAAGCCCCTCAGAGCCTATGTGATACCATCCCACAGCCTGGTAAGCATGTGTGTTTAACTTATGTGATTGCACCTGGCTGGCCACCAAGCACTTAGAGCTGCAGTAGCGAACACTGAATGCACAAGTTGCAAGTTGACTGTGCCCTGATCAGATATCTTACTTTTTTTTCTTGGTGGGTAGTGAATTGCTATAACTCTGTGAATTGACTTCATTTTACCAGCACAAAAAGTAACTTACAGCACCACAGGTAGTAAGTACATAGTGCTTGCAATTTCCCCATCCTCAGACCTTGCTAATTTGTACACATGTGCCACTCTGTAGCTTTGATTATACCATCATATTCTACACCCAAAGTATTGGAAGAGGCCCTGCCTCGTATGCCCTGGATTTCATCCCATACTAGTCCTACTTAGGGCAGAACCATTGAAGTTAATTGAGATGACTAATTTAAATCCACTAGTTTCAATGGGTGTACTCTTGAGTAGGACTTAGTTGGATACAACCCACTTTGTTGTATGAGTGCACGATAGCGGCTGTTCATATTGTTAGTTAAGGTACTAAAATCAACAGTCTTGCTTCCAATTAATTTATTTAGGAAAAGCACCTGGAACTGCAAGTTCATACTGATTTGTATTACAGAACAAATCACCCCAACTATTCCTCTTTAAGCCTTGAAAGTTGGCTTGTGGAACACCTTCCTTCATCAGAGAGATTACACTTACCAGACATGTTTCGACTGATGTCAAACATTGTTTGTATGGAAAGGAAGTGAATATGCCTAAAATGTGTATAGAATAGATTTTAAGTTTCAGGTTTTCAAAAGTGTCTCACTCTCCAGTTTAGCTGTCATCACCAATCTATTGTGTTAATGACAATGAATGAATTCATGAATAGGAGTGGAGCCTGTGATCCAAATATTGTATGACAAAAAGCTGTGATGTACTTTATAATTTATCAAGTACAGCTGGAAGATGAGTTAAACATGGCATTCCTTTTGGGCAAAATCACTGTTTCCCTGCACAAGAGAGTCAGCTTTCCTCTTACTGGCCCATGTAGACTTAGGATGGGAGGGAACGGGCCTGTCAAGATTACAGTTTCATCTTCTGGTAGTGGAAAGGGGTGGAATGGAATGAAACTATAGAACCACACACTTTTTAAATAGTTCACTTTAGTAGGATTCACCATTAGTAGCCCTGAAATTGTAACATCACTAACATAATCATATTATTAAACATACTTTATATTAAATATTACCACTTGATGCTTATTTTCCAGTATGCCCAGTTAGTTCACTGGATTCAAATACATCCTAAGTTTTCTATATCAGGGGTTCCCAAACTGTGGTCTTTACATTGGTAATCTTCACATTCTAGTTCTTGTATAAAGAAATCTACATCCTCCACTTTCAAGCAAACCATGGTTTCTGATAGAGACTCCAGCCCAGGCTCACTATCATAATGTGGGTTTTCTTAATCATCATCCATTTGTTCCCTTCATAGAATTTCATATCAGAAACTCTGATTTTGAATGGATTGTCAGTACATACAATTACCTTGAAGTATTGCTCAGGACCGCCTCTCTCCACATGAACCTACCTCGACCCTGAGAACATCTTCTGAGGCCCTTCTTTATGTTCCTCCTACATAACAGGTCTGGAGAGTGGCAACATGAGAACGGACCTTCTCTGTAGTGGCTCTCTATTTGTGGAATGCTCTCCCCAGAGAGGTTCTGCTGGCACCTTCATTATGCACCTTTAGGTACCAGGAGAAAATGTTCCTCTTTAACTACGCCTTTGGCTGATTGACATCCGATACCCTTTTGAAATGTGTTGTAGAAGGGGGAATTGTTGGGTTGTTTTTGTTTTTATAATGTATATTATGTTTTTTATACCTGTTATTTTATGTTGTGAACTGCGCTGAGATCTATGGTTATAGGGTAGTATACAAATTTAATAAATATTAATAATAGAAATAATAATTAAGGATAAACTGGTGACTCTTCATGTTTGAGCCTTTTATGGTGCTAGAGTTCTCATCCTGTTCAACTGGATGCCTGTCAGAAGCTCACAAGCAGGATCTGAGTGCACTTACTGGTATAGGACGGGTTTTTCTTTGTAGACAGGATTCTTGAAAACCTCCTACACATTTTATTATGCCTTTAGCGAAAATTGCTTTATGCAAAAACATTTTCTGTTTGATAGACAGTTCTAGTACCAAGTCAAAATGGATAGCGATGGAATCCCCCATGGCTTTTGAGATTGCTAACATATACACAGAACAATTGGAAGATACATTTATGGAGTGGAGTCTACATTTTCCCCCTCCCTCCATGAAGTGCTTCCTAATTGATGTTCACGCTATTTCATATGAAATGGGGACCTTTCTTTGGGTACAGCTGAGAGAACAAACCTTAGTTCTGATGGGCAGAGTCATATTAAAAGAATGTCACTCGTCGTATCTTTGAATCCAATGTCATACTACTGATCTTGACATTTACAGAAGGATGGCTACGGAAATTTCTGAGAAGCTTATAGCTTCACACAGTCTTACTGTAATGCATTATATACTGTTGTATAGGAGAGCATTATGTTTGTTTCACGGTAATTTCATAGTTATGACTCCCAGCGTGATCTCTGTTTGTGAAAGATGAAAGCACTTGAGTTGACGGAAGCTGACATACACTTGTTTTAAAGGAAAATTGCTTTGGACTTGCTGAGTACTGGGTGTTAACATAGTTTAAATGCATTAGATTTTAAGTGTAGAAATATGGTTTCTGTGTGGCCTGTAAGGATATAAGAACAACAAACACCTCAAATGTGTATCTACAACAGTGGCACAGACTGTACTTCAAAGAAAGATGGGTGAATTAATTTTTCAGTGCAGTGGAATTAAAAAACCCTCATCTTTCCTTATAGCTGATCCTTCTAAAGAGAGAAAAAAGCCTATAAGCTTCAATTCAGACTTTTTTTTCGGTTTTGAAAAGTCTCATGGTTTGTATATTTATTCTTGTTCAAACACACATCTGCAGGCACAGACAAATATTACTAAAGTAACAAAATCAAAGCGGACAAAATTCACTAATAAAATCACAACACACATTTTTATTAGTGCTATTAGCAATGAACACCATATGTCATGGAACTTCTCAAATTAATGTGATGAAAGGGTAAAAAACTAGAAATAGTGAATAAGTGAGCAATGGGAATAGAGTTTTCAAAGCTATGAATGCTTGAAAACCTAGTTTTTGTGATTTTAGCTTTATTTTGTACACATAGCATCTTTTAGTGATTCCCACACAGATCTGGGATCATGGAAGGGCCTAATAGGTCTTGGAAACTATGGATATTCAGTGAACTGCACAACTGTATTATGTGCCCAATAATGTTTTCAGGTTTTGGTGTTAGAATAGCAGTGGCCCTTCTTCCTGGATGCCTGCTTTGCAAAATACTTTTGAACCTGCAGGCTTGTTCAAAAATAGTTTGTAGCATGACTGGAGGTTCCAGTATTTGGATTCTTGAGCAGAAGGTCTGTTGCTGGAGGTCCTCCCTGAATTTGACATGGTGCCTTCCAGTAGTGCTCCACCAGTAATGGGGCCAAAACTGGAGCATTCCAGGGAGATGTCTGGGTGGCCAGGGACCCATGGAATCCTCAGCTCTCTTGTGGGAAACTACTGCAGCTTGAGAGCTGGCACAATTAATTCCTTCCCATTGGATGCAATGGGAAGGGGGAAGGGGGGGGAAATGGTTGTCTCCACCTTCTGCCTTAGCCAGTGCTGGCAGGGCTTAGGAAACAAAGGTTGCTGTTCTGCAGATTACCCTCCACCGCTAAGATTTCTCTGTGGTTGTCTGTGCAAAGGGGGAAAGGGAGAAATCCCACTGGGCATTCGCAATGCCTTGGACCCCAGTTCCAGATTGCAGCCTGCATGTGATACTTTGGGTAGATCCTTTCGTTGATCATCAAGACAGCATTGTCTTGGGCTGCCATATGTCCGGATTTCAAAGGTGGACTTGATGTCTGGGGGGATTTCCAAAAGGTGTCTCTTTGTCCTGGATCTTAGGCAAGTCAATTGAAAAATCGACAACTTTGAAAGCTCAAAGCTCACCAACTTTCAGGTTTTCCTTAAAAATCCTCAACAATTTTGGTGGTGTCTTGGTTTTTACTTTTTGAAATATGGCAACCCTAGCTTTGTCTTTAGCTTGCCTTATAAACTGCTTGACAACAATCAGTCCTCATCACATTGGTTCATATGAACATATGTGTTCAAATGAATTGCCTCCAGTAGTATGAACCTTTAGAGTTTATATCAAAGTCTACATAGCTATTACACAAAATCTCAAATATTTGCCTTCTTGAGCCCTCGTTATGTACAGATTTGGGTAGAGCTCAGTCTCTGTCTCTCGAAGCCTCAGTGTTATTCCCATTCTGAGAGGCCTCAATTCCACACACTTCAGATCAAGCCATAATGCTTGAGCTGGAAGAAAACTCTTCCCTCCAGCTAATCTGAATGAAAGCTACAACAGCGCAGAGAATAAAAGATGTGGCACTAATACTGCAGAAACAGGGCTGCTGCTCTCTCTTGGAGTTTATGAACATGACTCACAAGTGCTGGCTAAGATATGTCAAAATTGGTCTCCAGGTTAGTCTAATTATATGTGCGTAGTACATACTTGTTATGATGGAGCTGTAACCCTTCCATTCTGAAACAGTAACACATAATTCTACCTCCAAAATTATAGCTAGCAAAATTGTTAAATAAGCTAGGAAGTAAGTGAGTAGACTAATGAATCCAGTAGGAGCTTTACTTCAAGGTTCAATTAAAGGCAAGGAATAGGATATTCTTTTCTTTCTATTTTTTGCAGGGGAAGAGAATAGCTTCCAAACATACTTTGGTAGTTCTATATAGCTACTTATTTTTTGCTATGCACGTTGGGTTGCATTCTCATGGCAGTTGATTCATTTCCTCAATGTTTCTCTGTTAATTTCCTTCTTATATTTGAGCTTTCACACGAGCTAAATGCACTTCCAGAGATAAAACAAAATATAGTTCATGCCATTTGTTCCCAGAAAAAAAATAATCTGCTTGTAAATAACATGTTCCTTTGCTACTACATCTTTACTTGCTCCACATCACATATTGCATTAGCTATGGGGTAGGTGTGTCAGCTGGGCCAAATGTCGTGCACAGGTGATGTGCTGTCAGGCTGCCAGAAAAGCCCTTCTGCCTGTTGTCCCATGCTGTAAGCAGAAACAGACACACTGCTTCTCAGTAATTAACTTTATTGCTCAGTAGCGAAGGAGTCAGCACATGACGCATCCATCAGATAAGCAAGTCAGTTGCAGAAGCTAAAGTCCCTCTTCATCCCTTATTTATACCTCCCTCCTTGCATTTTTTTTTTTTGCTCTGACTCGGCTTTTATTAATTGTTCTAGCCTTTTCTCAACCCTTCGTTCCTGCGCTGAGAGTGAGGGAGGGGAAGGAACCAAATCAGGACTGTATTGTAGAGCAGGATGGCTGAAGGAGAGGCAGTAGGCAGACGCAAGTCCCACACTGACATTTCAGGCAGTGCGAAACCTGCAGGCACCTAAGCCACCATGTCACTCCTCAAAAGTTCTGTGAAACCATTTTTTATTTAAAAAACTCATTTTGTCACACACACCCCTCAGTGATGACACCCTGCTTTTACAAATGGAAACCTACTTTAAGAAATGGAAAGGGCCCACCTCCCTTTTAAGTAGACAGTATGTAACTAGAGAACATGTTTTCCTTCATACGAAGAAATAATCCAGTCTTGTTTTTTCGCAACTCCTGCCTAGCAGCTCTTCATAAAAATATTGTCCCTGCTCCACCAACCAACCAACCAGCCAACCACAACCACATTACCCTTTGCTTTTAGGCAAGCTCTCTCCTCTGTATCCACTCATACCTAGACTGTGAAGAGCTGTATTTAGGTGGGAAAGCATCTGTTTTGCATGATGAAGTTTCTAGGTTCAAACCCTGGCATCTCCAAATGGGGCTGAGAGTGGCCCCTGCCTGAAATCATGGAAATCATGGAAAAGCCACTGTCAGTCATTGTAGACAGTACCAAGTCAGACGGTCCAATGCTATGACTTAGTATAAGCTAGCATTCTGTGTTCCTGTGTGTTCATTCTGGTACACCCAACAATCCATTCTCAATATCTAGGAAGAAAGCACAGTGAACACAATGATTTCCTCTGCCAGAGTACAATCCGGGTTTTGTCATACCTTCTTCTTGGCAACATCTGCATTCTTCACAAAACAGCAGCCCAGTGGAGCACTTGGTATAAAACCTATATTTATATCTTTTATCTTAAGCAGGGGATTGGGGAAAGAGGCCAGTGATCTCTAGACAGTGCTTTATTTCCGACAGAATGCCATCACTCCCCACTCCACAATTGGCAGCCATTGTGTGCCGTGACACTTTTATCTAGATGTAAGTACTGACACCTCGTTTCTTACCAAAAAAGCACTGGATCAAGCTAATTGTTCACCTGCAGGTGCTGGTGCAAGTCCATGGAAATGTGGGGCGAGGGATGAAAAAGAACTCTAGAAAATGAGAGGCAAATGCAAAGGAGCAGAACAGTATATGCATTCAAGTGGGAAGTGAAGGAGTTTGAAAATGGTGTTGCAGTTTCCTGCTCTGTATGGTTTAGGTGTTCTTCTCTTCGCATATGGAGAGAGGCAGATTGACTGTTCTCTGTGGCTTTGTCTTGGGATGTTAGAGAATTCCTCCAGAAACAGGGGTGGAAATTGCTAATATTTGCTTAAGTCCAGAGAAGTAATCAATCCAGTGAATGTGATTGTTGTTTTCATTCCACAAATGGTACTTAATTGATTAATTCCCGCCTCCATTGTCATTATGTTTCCCTTGCATTAAAATAAATGGAGTTGAATAACATAATTAATTATATAAAAACACTTAAGAAATAGGTTAGCTTGAGAAATAGTGACTGGCTGACATGACTGACATGAGATGCGAACCTTGGTGTCATCAGTCCTAGTCTCACTAACCACTATACTCTACTGGTTTTCCAGTGATTTAATTGCACAGAAATGGTTAACTAGAAGTGTTTGTGAATATAAAAAAATCTCCTTTTTGGAATTTTAGATTTTGTCTCCAGATTTTATGACCTTGTGTGATGATGTGCATGTCCCCACCCCCCATAGTTCCCTCAAGCTATTTGTTCTACTCCTGGATCCACTACTGTAACTTCATAATATTAGGAAATGGACAAAAAGGATCACAATACATTTATTGAAATGGAATAATACAATGTAGGAACACTTCATGGTACAGTCTTTCTGTTTCATGCAGCTACATGATCTGTCAAGAGAGTCATTCTAAATCTTCTTTCTGGCCACTTGATGGAGGCAACAGCTTAAATACTTTTATCTGTTTTTTAAGTTGATGCTCGAGGTAGTTGATTAGATGCTGATTTGTACTGTAGTTTTGTGAGTTGTGTTTGTAGTCTCCACATTGTGTGTCTGATGAACTTTATGTATTATAAACATACAGCGAAAACCATTTGCTGGAATAACAATTACAACCCATCATTGCTGCTAAACACTGAACTAGGATCTATTCGGCTGTATCCTAGAATGAGAAGTTTAGTAGAATGCAAATATTCTTAAGTGCTTCATATTTTAACATTTACCGAGGTAGCAGTATGATTTTAAAGTAAAAAAGAAAACGGACATGGGTAAAAGCAGTGTATATCTTCTTTAAAAAGTAAAATAAAATCTTAGTTCTCCATTCAGGTAGGTATCCATGTTGGTCTGATGCAGTCGAAACAAATAAAAATAATAATAATTGTCCAGTAGCACCTTAGAGACCAACTAAGTTTGTTCTGGGTATAAGCTTTCGTGTGTATCTGAAGACGTGTGCATGCAGAACAAACTTAATTGATCTCTAAGGTGCTACTGGACAATTTTTTAATTTTTTTATTTATTTCGACTTAGTTCTCCAGTTTTGATTAAAATCACACTTACTCCTGTGGTACCAACTTCATGACCTCCCACTTTTCATATTCACTACATCCTAAGCAGCAACTTCTTTTTTGTAGTAATTCCATCCCAGTTTCCATGAAAGGCACCAAAATCCAGCATAAAGGCTCTCCTGACAATCACATTTGGCTTTTAAATCCAGAATTTGGACCCAGTCATTTTGACCCCGGCCATTTTAAGGGAAACACATGCTGAGATTCTTTGTGCAGCTGGAGACTGTTAGTTCCAGCTTTGAGACTGCTGACTTTGGCACGCTGAGAGCATCTGGGCAAACAAGAGAAGCGGAAGGTTCCAGAGGGGCTTGGCAGGCTGAAAAGAGCTTGTTCTGCCCAAAGTCAGTTTTGGACAGCTGGGTGTTGAGTCCAGGCTGCCGAATGATGAGGTTCAAATAGCTACAGGTGGAATAGCTGAACTCAGAGCATTGAGAGCTGTGCACACAGGAGGCCTGAGAGTAGCGCATAGCTGTCAAGAGCTGCTCAAGAGAGAATAAAGAGGTAACTCAAGTAGAAGGAAGGAAGCAGTGATTCATAGAGTGGAATAATCCAGGGGAGTGCTCGGTTTGGCATTTTTTGTTTTTAATTCATGATTTTGCTATGCTAAATTAGCCTTGTGCATGTAGATAAATATTCAGATCCCTTTTGTGTACAGGAGGAATATTTGGAGGAAAGCTAATTCTTATAAGAATAGCGTAATGTTTCTAAGCAACAGAAACATTACTCTTGCTCAATTTTATAATTTGTATTGATTCATAATAGCACCTCCAAACAATTTTCAGGGAAATGGATCAGTCTGCTTATATTCACTGTTATTAAAACTGAAGACTGAATCTAATTAGTAAAATAACTTTTTTTAATCAATACACATGGTAACATTACATATATGTTCTTACAGGTGATGGTGAACTGAAACAGGACTCTGTATCATGCCTTGAAGTAAGTAGAGTTTGTATCTTAGTGTTGTTGCTTATTCTATCGCATCATAATGATTTATCTCTTAATATTTTGTCCCAAGCTTCTTCTGAAAAATGGAAACTTGTCATGACAGATGGGTCCGTACAAATGCTTGTTTATTTTCATCTGAGGCAAGATCAGGGAAGGGGGGCTGTTCACACAATAAGTTCTGAAAAAAACAACACTTTAACCTATCATTTATTCAGACTTACAATGTGAGATTCAGAATTTGAACTGAGTTGAATTAGAGGTTGGCAGTCACTGAGTGAATCAGAGGTTCTGGACAGATTCACATAGACCCTACTTGGTACCTTAGGTTGATAGCGTAGGGAATGTGGCGCAATCTGAGAGAATAATTCCTTAGATATACTTTCAAGCTAAATTCATTTTATTTTTAATTTTTTTTTGTTAAAGTTTATGAAATCTGTACGTTTTGGGGGAAAGCACAGTTTTGAAATACTGTGACTTCAGAATGGGCATGATCCAATCCAGAAAGTTGTTTTGAAGTAGTTCAGTATGTAGAGCACATTCTTTTTTTCCACTCAACAATACATTTACAAACAGTAAAATGCCTAAAAATAAGAGGAAGTATATTGTGTTGGTTTCTGCTTTCCTTCACTGTGCAGCTCTGCTTGTCACGAGACAGGTGTTTACATTCCACAGTCTGTACTGTTGGAGTTTCTCACGGGAAAGGGAGACTGGATGTGACGTACACTGGTTTCCTGTTTTTCACTGTGTGATTCTCTCCGAGCTGTCGAGGAGAGAGGATGCATTTTCTGCTCCGGCAGAGGCAAGATGTCTTTCTGTAATATACCAGCTTTGAACTGTAAATAAAGCAATATAGAGTATGCAGCACGTATTCCTCATCCTTCCGCTGGGCACCAGACTCTGCTTTAAATCAACACGTGGTTATGGGCTCCAGAAGTCGAATCGGAGTGCCGGCAAAGGATCGGAATGCAGAGGAACAGATCGGAACGGAATCTGCTCTGCGCGTAGAGGTGATTGATGAGGTATGTGCTACTGCTCCGGGCAGCCTGCCAGCTTCAAGTTAATGGCTTTATGGCTGGACTTTGAACTTTTAAAGCCGGTTTTGCCGGGAATAGGCAAAAGGCTCCCAGGCACAAGTCACTATGCTGGGGAAATCGAAGTAACTTTTAAGTGCGCTTTTGTAATAAGGCAGCTGCAGCAGTGACGCAGCAAGATTTAAAGCAGCATATGACGCTGAAGGCTAATGCCAGAGTCATGATGGCCCTTCAGGATGCTTGTGGGATTCCTAAGCTCAACAAGAAAAATTACAGCGACTGGGTTCTGTATGCAGAGGCAATTCTGCGGAAAGAGGGTTTGTTTGAGGTGATTACAGAAACCCCCCCAGTTCCAGTTACAGATGCATGGGAAGCTAAGGATTCCAAAGCAAGGGGAACTCTTACATTGATAGTATCCCCAGAAGAGCTCTGTCTATTGCGTGATAAGACCTCAGCCAGAGAAATTTGGGACGCTTTGAGAGAGGCTCACTTAAGGACAGAAGCTGGATCCACTATGTTTTACTTTAACAAGCTGCATAATATGGCTCTTGCTGAAGGTGGAGATGTGCGTTTACATCTGATGGAGATGCAAAATCTGAGACATGAGCTGCAACAGAGAGGACTCAACTTTCCAGAGGCTGTGTATTCTTTCATGATACTACAATCTTTGGGTTCAGGTTGGGAGTCTGTTGCAACCCAGATTGCTGTGCAACCAACTGCTCAGCTGACAGTGGACTTTGTTACTGCCGTGATTTTAAATGAAGCAGATCGCCGGGTGCTAGCTGCATGGGCAAGGGGAGTCTTCACAGACGTCATCCCATAGTGCAGTGGAACCACCAGATGGCGCCAAAGCTTTGAAGGCAGTGAAATGCTACTCGTGTGGACGTCTAGGCCATATGAAGAGGGAATGCAGACATCCCAGGGCCAAGACAGAGCAGCGCAGCGAAAGCTCATCGCGCGGAAAAGGCCGAGGCAAAGGCAAAGGTCCGGTGTCTAGGACAACGCAGCACAAGGCTATGGTTTCACGCTTCACTCCAAAGGTTGCAGAGGTCCAGAAGACGTCTAGATCTTTCTTCGTTGTTGATTCAGCGGCGACCCACCACATGTGCAACGATAAGAGACTGTTTGTGTCTTTTACACCGCAGGAAGGTGCGATTCACCAGGCGGATGACCACACTATTCCCAGTAAAGGCTACGGAACTGTTGTTCTTCACAGTTTGGACTTATCGATACAGAATGTGCTTTACGTGCCAGACGCCAAACATAATCTGCTCAGCGTTGGACAGCTGAATGAGCGGAACATTGACGTTTCCTTCAAGAACAAGAAGTGCATCATCACAAAGAAAAATGATTATGTATTGCATGCAGAATATGTTGATCGTTTGTTTGTTTTGTATTATGATGATGTGGTGCAGGATGACACTTGTTGCATTGCAGGTTCTAACAAAAGTTTGCATGCAGAATGTATTCACGATTTTCATAGAAAATTTGGTCATTTGCATTTTGAGGCAGTATCTAAAATGCCTGCCTTGGTTGAAGGTATGACTATTAAACCCTGCAGGTACCACATGAAGTGCAAAGCATGCGCAGCAAACAAAGTGAAAATGGCTGCGAAAGGTAAGGTGTCTAGTAGGAAAGCTACAGAACCATACCAGGTTGTTCATGCTGATTTGGTTGGACCACTAGCGCCCTCTTTGGGTGGAAATAGATACTTCATGGTTCTCATTGATGCATTTTCTAGATATATTTTTGTGTACAATCTCAAGCAGAAATCGGAGGCTTTTCCTAGGTTCAAGGAATTCTGTGCTTGGTTGGAAAATGTGCATGGTAAGAAGATAAAGACTCTTTTCAGTGATCGCGGGGGAATTCACTTCTCAGCAGTTTGAAGCTTTTCTGACTGAGAAAGGAATTCAACACGATTTGTCTAGTCCTCGCTCGCCATGGCAGAATGGACTTGCGGAACGGGCAAATCAGACATTGCTTCAAGGGTTAAAAACCTTGCTGCATGATGCCAATCTTCCAGAGAGTTATTGGGCCGAATCTCTCTCGTGTTTTGTTTACAGTTACAATCGCAGGTTATCTTCAGCGATTGGTTGTACCTCTATGAGAAGATGTTTGGCAAGAAGCCATACATCAAACACATGAAGATTTTTGGTTCTGACATGTGGGTTCGCTCACCACAAAACTCCAAGTTAGACAAGCGTGGATTGCATGGTATCTTTCTAGGTTATCAGAAAGGGTCTTACAGAATAATGATGACTGACTCTAAGACAATTAAGCTCACGAGAAGTGTTGAGTACAATGCAAAGTGGGGGAGAATGTGGGAATTTTCCAATGTTATCCTGATGACGGTGATGAGACTGAGGATAGTCAAAAGCAACCACAACAGCCCACACCCACTGATGAAGGTTCTGAGTCTGAATCTGAAACTGAATCGGGTGATTCAGAGGATTTCGAGAGTGCGAAAGCCTCTATGCGACCCTCTGAAAGCTCTGATCAAGAATTGGAGGAACCATTGTTCACAATAGGTCGTTTTTCTCCTAAGAAGGAAGAGGAGAGTGTTGAAGACTTAAGGCTAATTCGTAGGTCACAGAGAGCCACAAAAGGCAAACCTCCAAAGAGATTTGCTGATGAGTTTGCTACGATAGCAGTAACAGCTGTTAAAAGCTCCAAGAAGGTATTTGAACCTTCAAGTTTCCAAGAAATCCAGGGTTTGGATTCAAAGGAAGCTGAGCCATGGTTAAATGCCATGAAGGCTGAGCTTGATTCCTTAGAAAGGAACAAAACATGGGAGCTAGTTCCAGTAGTTCCAGGAATGAAACTGCTTGGAAGCAAATGGGTCTTCAAAGCGAAGACAGATCAAAATGGCAAGATAGTCAGACACAAAGCCAGATTGGTAGCCAGAGGTTTTGCACAGGTACCAGGTCAAGACTATCACGAGACCTATTCACCCACAGTGAGATATGAAAGCATTAGGCTTATGCTTAAGCTAGCTGCAGAGGAAAATCTACACATTAGTCACCATGATATTAATACAGCTTTTCTGTACGGATCTCTAGATGAATCACTTTATATGCTTCCACCTGATGGCGTACAGGTAAAACAGGGATTTGTTTGTGCTCTGAAGAAATCCCTTTATGGTCTCAAACAAAGTGCACGGTGTTGGCACACAAAACTCACTGAAGTATTGTTTTCTCTAGGTTTTCAGCAAGGGAAAGCTGATCCATGTGTATTTGTCAAAGAGGAGGGGCAAAAGAAACTGTACTGTTTGTTTTATGTTGATGATTTATTATTCTTTTGGAAAGATGTTGCAATGTACAATAGCGCCCTAGCTCAACTGAAAGAGCACTTTGACATGAAAGATCTTGGTGAGGTAAACAACTACCTATCTCTGGAAATAGAGAGAGATCAAGATGGTAACATTCTAGTACACCAGTCACGGAAAATTGCTGATGTGTTAAGCAAACTAAATCTGATGGATGCTAACCCTGTAGACACACCGATGACAACAGGTTATCAGGTAGATGACACTGAAGAAGCATTTTCTGACACTACACTGTACAGGAGTGTGCTAGGCAAGCTAAACTTCATTGCCAGATGTTCAAGACCAGACATTGCTGTTAGCTGTAATTTGCTAAGCAGACAAGTCAACAATCCTAGTGTCAAGGATTGGAAAGCTCTGAAACGCATAGCGAGGTATTTGAAAGGCACTATGCATTACAGACTGAGATTTAACAATCAGAAGTCTGGTGGTCTTGAGATATTTGCAGATGCAAGTTTTGGAAGTGACGCTACAGACAGGAAAAGTACGTCTGGGGTTTGCTACATGTACAATCAGAGTCTGTTTGATTGGTCATACAAGAAGCAAACAACAGTTAGCTTAAATACTTGTGAAGCCGAACTGAATGCACTGTCCTATTCACTTAAGGATTGTGAATGGTTAGTACAATTGTGCAAAGATATGAAAATTCCTGTCAAATGTCCAATCCAGGTTTACCAGGACAACAAAGCATGTTTGGCTTTGCTGAAGTCTGAAGGTTGTAAGCAAAGCACAAAGCACTTACAATTAAAGTTGCAGCATGCTAGGGAATGTATTCAGAAGGGACTCGTAACGGTGTCCTATATGCCAGGTAATGAAATTCCTGCTGATGTATTGTCCAAGATTGTATCAAGGGATCAACACTGTACCTATGTGCAGAAGTTGGGTTTGTACTGATATTGTACAAACACGCTGCCCAGTGATGTTCACAGAAAGGGGGAGGATGTTGGTTTCTGCTTTCCTTCACTGTGCAGCTCTGCTTGTCACGAGACAGGTGTTTACATTCCACAGTCTGTACTGTTGGAGTTTCTCACGGGAAAGGGAGACTGGATGTGACGTACACTGGTTTCCTGTTTTTCACTGTGTGATTCTCTCCGAGCTGTCGAGGAGAGAGGATGCATTTTTCTGCTCCGGCAGAGGCAAGATGTCTTTCTGTAATATACCAGCTTTGAACTGTAAATAAAGCAATATAGAGTATGCAGCACGTATTCCTCATCCTTCCGCTGGGCACCAGACTCTGCTTTAAATCAACATATTGGGCCTATTGTTTGAAGGCCAATTCTTTGCTAAAAGACAAGTTTCCTTATATCAGTCATAGTCTATTGAAGGAGGTTATGCCATTGCAGTATTGGTACAGCTCGCATTACATTCTTGGTCCTAATTGGTATAAATGTGGGTCTGCTACTAAGTGATAGAACACCTGCTTTACATGCAGAATGTCCAAAGTTCAGTCCCTGGGATCTCCAGGTAGGTCTAGAAGAGCCCCTGTAGTGTAGATGATAATGAGGAAGATGGGTCAACAGTCTGAATCAGTATAAGGCAGCTTCCTGTGTTCCTTGCTTGTATAAACCGTTATTGTTTAAAATCAGTTCCATGATTTCTCAATGAAATTGAGTAAACTTTGATTTCACGTGAAGATAATTTTACCTTCGAGTTACACTAAGATGGTTGAATCCTTAACTACCTTGCTTGTTCCCTAATGTAGTCCCTATGTCCCCTGAGAGACAGGTGACACTTGAGAAAGGTGTGGGATTGCTGCTGAAGAGTGAAGTTGGGTGGAAGATGCAGAACCCGCCCTTGTGCAACTATATATGCCATCTTCATGCAGTAGTATCTGTTCGAATACTGCTCTTTGCAGATTATTTAGATGTGATGGAGAGATGCATGAGTGAATTGTATTTCCTGTTGTTGTGCAGCTGATGTGATGTTCACAAAGGATGTTGAATAAGGGAAGTTAAAGACTCCGCATAAAAATCTAATGAGCAGTTTATGTGCTACAGTAGTTTATAAAGACATACAGAATTGCTGAGCTTGAAGTTCTATATGGGACGAACTAAAGTGTTGAAACCACGGCTGCTACAACTTTATTGTTGTTACTAAAAAAAATCATTTTAAGAATAAGTATGATAAATCCTTGAAAGTAGTTTTTATTGCACCAACTCTTTTTGAAGGAGCTCTTGTCTGCAGCAACGTGCCAGGCTACTTCTGTATTCTGCCCAGTCTACAAAGTCTTCACAATCATCTTTTGAAAGCTAATATGTAGGGGATTTTGAAATTTTGAAATCAATTAATAATCTACTGAATCATTTCCCCAGTGCTGTTCTTTTACTCTCAGATTTTATTACTCTGTCTCTACTGAGTGGTTGCAGACGAGCAGATCATTAAAATATTTATTTTGTCAATTGTTCTCCTTTTTCCAGATTTGAATTATTCATATGTTTCTCTTGGGTTGCTAGCATGTTGTTGAGAATGCTAATTGACCTTATTTTATTGTTTGAAATAATAAGAGAATTGAAGACATTTTTTTCTGAACCGGATGATTCACTTTCAACTCAACATGTCTTTTCCAAAACATTTCCCCACTTCTTTCTATTTCCCTCTTCTGTTGTGCATTGTTTAGACAGTTTTCAATTTCCAAATATGCAGAAAGGATTTTTATATTTAATGCAGGATTTTTAGATTCTCTTCTAAGATGTGCAGTGCTGGGAATTCTACAGTTAATGTGGATGCAGTGTTTTGGCACACTCAGAACTCTTCATATGCATTATCTCAGTAATTCTTTCAGTTGACCTACAAGTTAGATCAGTATTATTATCCCCATATTCCTGTGGTTGGCTGAATGTAATCTAGCACGTTCATAGCACAGATGTAAAATTTGAACTGGGAAATTTTCACAGCTCATATTGTAACACTTAATCTGTCTGTCTGTCTGTCTGTCTGTCTGTCTAGCTATCTAATGTTCACCCTGCTTTTCAAATGAAAGAGGCCCCCAGATTGGCTTATAAATATCAGTAATAAGACAGTCCCTGCTCATAGGTTTATAATCTACATGACACAAAAGGAAAAGCAATTTGGAGGGAGAAAAGGCAGATTTCAGAACTAGTTATTAGTTAATGTTTTAAAAGGGATCCAGGTTGGTTGTTCCGGGAGAGCTTGTACAAATCATCATTAAATATAGAATCACCAAGCGTAAAGAAGAACAAGTCCTGCTGAAGAAGAAAACAGCATGGCGTCTGCAAGAATAAGCACAATAGAGTTCTTTGAATGTCAATCAGCATATAGATAAAGGTGATCCAGTCAGCACTGTGTGCTTAGACTTTTTAAAAACAATCTGATGAAGGCTTGCAACTTTTAAGGAAAGTTTCTTCCTGAAATGATTACCTGTTTCAGTAATATCTGTATTTCTCCATGTAAATCTTTTCTACTTCCAAGTGGATACCAGTAAAAGGTAAGAGGTGAGGGTCTTATACCCACGGATATCTGAACAAGTGCCCTGTATGTGAACCTGCTGTTTACTGATTCTCTTAGATAGTTTAGTGTTGTCTTCTTCAATTTCATTTGCAAATCAAATATGGTCCAAACCCAATTTGTTTTACATGGCATTTTTTTGCCTACAGTATTTTTCCATATTTCATGATATACGAGTAGCACTGTGGTTTACAAGTGAGCGTTTAGTCTTCTCTGCAATCATTTTGCAGCTGCTGAATATTTATATTCTTACATCAAGCATACATGAATCCTACTATAATTCCTTAATGCAAATGTGACATTTTATGCTGACTTTGTAATATGCAAAGAACATTCTGCTGAAGTATGATAAATTCTTTTAAAAAAAACCAAACCCCATTCCTGACCCCCTTACTTAGTACAAGTCTTTACTATCATTGGCTTTCCCTGTTTCACTTTATATTGTATGTGACCCTTGGTAAGTAAAAGTGTAATTTGTGTCCTTGTGCAAGTAATTTCCTTTATGTTTGATGGGTCAACTGGATGCTTTCCTAAAATAAAATTTGATCCACTAACTACTCTGAGCTGATGCCTAATGAATGATTAGTGTTATTGGTTCTCCTGGAGAATTTAGGAGTTTCTTCTTCAGCATAGCTTTATTTGCTTCCATTCTTTGGTCCATGGTATACATGGTGTCTGTTGGACTTTTTAATCCCTTGTATTAACAATATCTCCATTTTTGTTGCTCAGTTCTCCTTCTTTACTTTCCAGTTCTTTGCCACATAATTCCTTTTAAACCACCTTGACCTTTCTATGGTCAGCTGTGCTTGATTTGTAAGGACATTTCCACATTCAAAATTCACCAGAATAAAACTTCACAAAACCAGCCTGAATTACATCACCATTCTAAACCCCCCCCCCCTTTTCAGCTGATAACCAACATTCTGTGGTTACTGAATATGCTGTCTTCATTAATGTTTTGGTGTTGTTTGGGGAGATGATGCAGGTAATATGCAAACCAGTGACACAGACTTGCTGTCCAGCATTTCCTATAATGGCCTTATTCAGATGCTATATTAAACCATAGTTTGAAACAAAATTTCACACAATGCTGCTCCCCTACTTCCGCTGCCATACTTCAGACAAAACAAGCCAGAGTTTGGTTCACTGTATTGTCTGATCCAAGATACTTGATTTGTTTCCTCCAAACAAATCGTGGGTGATAGATAACCAAGGTTGTTTTTTTCTTTGCTTAATGCTCATAGCTCATTTGTAAAAAAACAAGCCATGAGCCTAGGTTAGATGAGACAACAATTCAGGCTATGCTTCTTGATCTGAGGCATGGCAGCAACAGGAGTGAGGGAAGAAACAATGGTTTAATGTAATGTGCGAGCCAAGCTAGTATCTAAAGTAGAAAATTTGTATTTTCCCCTGCAGACCAATGGGCAAGCTGCAACCACGTTAGGACATCTGGCAATTCACAGTAGGAAGACATGTGGAAGTTAAGCTTCAGGTGTTGTTTATACCAGTCTTCAAGTTAAAACTGCACAATAATAATCATAAATTAAATCACAAAAAAGGAGAGAATAAAAGCATATAGGTTTTTAAAAAGAACAAGAGCAAATGAACTACCGAGAGAGAGAACTAGAGGTAACCTTCCAACCTAAATGTAAATGTTCTTATCCATTATTCAGAATTACATTATGTGGTGACCCAAGGAGGACCTCTGGCTAGATTGGAACCACAGCTGACACAAAGTTTTGCTCCATGCAATAGATGTCCCACAAAAAGTTTCCCCATATAAGGCCTCATTTGCAGATGTTAATGTTTGAGGATGTTTGTACGCAGGATATTACAAAGAAACATGGACAGTACAGAACAGAAGTTACCCGTAGTTCCTGACACCCTGCCTCTCCACCATCAAATAATGGCTTTCATTAATACCATAGAACTTACTACTTCCAGTGATAGATTTGTCTTTTGCTTCATTCTTTGAGGTATCATTGCAGTGATTTGGTTTAATGAAATAACATAGTTACTGTATAGGCATTCCCTGTGTCTTAGCAATTTAAATTCTACTCAAGCACTCTCTATTTTAATGCAATACTTATTTGGATTAGTATTCTGAAGTAGTGTCAAACATCAAATACAGCTAATTTTCTCCCCTATAACTGGATTTCTGTATTAAAAAAGTGTAAGCTCTCTGGGAGAAAGAGAAAACGCCTGAGTTTTTAGAAATTGCGTAGACATACCCTCAGGTTAAACAGAGAGCACAAGCACCCAACAGAAGTCATCTTAATGTTTCTGCTATAGACTGCTTTGTCACATGTATGTCTCAATGAATCACACAACCAAGTATTGTGTTTCCCATGGATTCAGTGTGATGTTTGGCCATGATAAAATCTCTGCTTATCCAGGGATCACATTAGATGCCCTAATCTGTTTCATAGGGCTGCAATTTGGGGATGAGAGAATAAAAGAGATGTAAAGCACATTGTACACTGAACTATGGTGTTGAAATGATTGATAAGTAGTCACTTATTAGGCTTGGCTAAGCTGGATGCTTCTGTGCTTTGTTGCTAGATATATAATGTAAGGTGGGAGTTCTGTCACAAAATTCAAGTTTTTGTATGTGTGAGTTCTCATCAGGGCAGCACTACTGAAGTCACCATCTGATCTCAGCGAGCTAACCAGCATTATTATATTTTCAGCGAATAGTGAATTGCTTCTTTATGGTTTGTTGTATGCTGCATCCTGGAACCTTCAGGATTTAAGCTTGTATGCTACATCCAGAGATGATGTAACTGGAGAAGGATGTCCAGACGATTTTGCCATCTACGACTTGCTCTTGAATTCTGTTTATTGATTCTTGTTGCTCAAGCACATAATGCTCCAAAAACCAAACCAAGTGCCTATTAAGTCAGCAAGTGCCGTTGCATGTTTAGAAAGGAGAAAAATAAATCTGCATTAAGCAAATCCACTTTTCTGCACTTAGCTCAGGATGCTGAATAGAGATCATTATGGCTTTCTAGGAAAGCTAAGAACTAATTCAGTTAAATATGGACTGCAAATAAACATTGCCACAAACTGCTGTCACCAGCAATTGATAGTGGTGATGAGTTTTTAATCTGTATTGCACAAATGGCTATTATTATTGTTTTTTTTTAAAGGCTTCCAATCTGTCCACTTCAATTGTGGGTTTAGGGATTTTGTATTATCAATGTAATTTCTGCTGAAATGAAAATAACACGATGATAGACATAGCGTGAAATACCCAGCTATTGTACTGTGTGCTTTGTATATAGCATATTTGAACGGGACACGTGTTAAATATGTCTTTATTGAAACATTTACTAAGTGTGATGGTGGTGGTATAAAATTGTCTCCATGTAGAGCACTGTGAGTTGGCCAGTTTTCTGGCACATCCATTGAGAAGTGGCCAAAATACACCAGTTTAATAATGTTTCTTCTTGGAACAGTTTGTGTTGTTCTGTCAATTGCTTCCCTTTCACCTACAGTTTGTGTTCCATATGTTGTCTTGCCCATTTCAGTGCATCACAAAATGGAGGAAATTGCAGGGGATTGTTTTTCTGAAAACCCAATGAGTATTCACAGTCTTTTCAGCATTTAAATTGGGAAGGTTATTATTCTACCCAATCTCAAGACCTGATTTTCTCTTCCTGGTTAACCATTTTCCTACAATGAAGATGGCTCCTTCCAGATTGGGGAGTCTTGTAGCTGCTGTAGCTACAAGTAAGTAGATTGTAATGATTGAAGGGCAGCATTCTGGGGTGTCTAATGGAGAAATAGCTTCATAAAAATAAGAGAAAAGTAGGGATGAGGGGGAAATTCAATTCAGTTTGCATCCTAGATTCATACTTTCTGAAACAATTCATGAATTAAAACACAGACGTCATGTGAAAGCCACACTTCTCTGAATTTTGCAGTGTAGTTCTACAGCCAAGGAATGTGCACAAAAATGCATATACTAAATTGTAGATTAAAACTTTGTATACAAATAGAAATAAAAGATGAAAATGCATTATATAAGAGGAAATTGCTTTGCATCTATCAGACAAAAATTGTATATTAAGTAAAGTTCACAATGAAAGGATGATGAAGATGATGAAGAAGAAGAAGGATATTTGAAGATTCAGGACAGATAAAAGAAAGTGCTTCTTTATGCAGCAATGCTTCTGAAGGCAGCAATGCTTCTGAATACCAGTTGCTGGAAACAATGGGAGAAGATTGTGCTCTTGTGCTCAAAACCTGCTTGTAGGTTTCCCAAAGGCATCTGGTTGTCCACTGTAAGGACACGATGCTGGACTAGATCAATGGCCTGATTCTGCAGGTCCTTTTAATGTTTTTTTTAAATGTTCTTCATACTTCTTAATTGTAGAATGTTGTTACATGTAAGCAAGGGGAAATGCTTGATCTAAGTGTTCCAACATTGCAAGGAGTGGAAAATGAGTGAAGTTTCTTTAACAAATATGTTCATGTTGTAACTATTAGTCTGAATTGCATTGTTGAGAAAGTGAACATTGTTGAGAATTGTGAAGAAGTTGACATTTTCAGTTGTGGAGAAAATGTGCTAAGTAGAAAAACAAGTATGCATTGTCCTGACACCAAAGAGATTCAGTCACAAATTGCTTACATGTAAGGGCAGCCAAGCACTTCCATTGCACTCGTGAGTGATGTTTTTAAGGCTGTTCCTTCTTGTTGTTATTACAATCAAATGTAAAGCAAGTCAAACAGAAGTAGCCTTTTTAAACTGCTCAAAAGTAAGGAGCTGGAGTTCTAATGTGTTCAAAAGTGGCTATAGTTTAAACATAAAGAGCTCTGGGCTAAACTGATTTTTATTAAATAAAAGAAGGTAAGGAGTTTTTAGTTAAGAGCTGCTGCTGCTGTCATGAAAAGTGCTTTTGATGACCTGGTTTGTAAAAAAGTTCACTATTGTGAAAAATGAAATGTTGGGGTGCTAGAAGGAAAAGGGTGGAGAGATACTGGGTCTGAAAAGCATTTCAGGGAAAGGGGTATTTTACTAAGATGGATTTCTTCCCTCAATAATACTTATCTAGTGTACCTATTACATTATTTTTCATGACAGAAAGCGGTGCATTTTTGGTGCTTGGCTGATTAGTTACAGATCCTCAGATATTTCCAGTACTGGCAGACTTCTGGTTTGTTCTGTTTCCCCATGTGATGTAAGTACAGTGGTAGCTCGGGTTACCTACGCTTCAGGTTACAGACTCCGCTAACCCAAAAATATTACCTCAGGTTAAGAACTTTGCTTCAGGATGAGAACAGAAATCGTGCAGCGGCGGCGCAGCGGCAGCAGGAGGCCCCATTAGCTAAAGTGGTGCTTCAGGTTAAGAACAGTTTCAGGTTAAGTACAGACCTCCGGAACGAATTAAGTACTTAACCTGAGGTACCACTGTAGTGGAGAATTTGTCTTTCCTGAGGGTAGAGCAGTGGTTCACAACCTCCTCCCACAGACCACTTGATGATTCTGGTGGACCACTGAATTGTTTTTCTTCCTGTTGAAACAATGCTAATACACTGTGCTAGTTTCTAATTACATTTTTATTGCTTCTTCTATTTATCATGTCATATTTTTTATAAATTCTAATACAATAAAATACAAAATGAGAAATAAAACAAACAATAAAAACAGATTACAATTAAAAACACATGCAAATATTTTTATGCAGACTTGCCACGGACCACCTGAATGAAGCTTGGTGTTCTGGGAGCCATAGGTTGGAAACCCCTGAGTTTGAGTATTTTGCAAAAGCAAAATTTTAGATGTAGGTTCTAAGATGTGAAATTTTCAACTTCAGAATCACTTGATTGAGCAGGCAAATCCCAGTTTTTGACTCTGGGTTCAAGCTGGGAGACTTCTGTCATAGACTTGTTCAAGGATTGAGAGAAGACCTGCTTTTCCTCTAACATTAGTGAAACAGACAGGCAGAAACCCAGTGAGATGGATCTGTTGCTTCACTGTACTGTTCGACACTCCAAGGCCAGACACATTCACATAAAATAAGTCTACTCATGAAAAACTGACATTTTTGGATGAAAACTGTATGTTAGACCTCCTTTAGCATATTAGTATGGGCAGGAACATTGGAACATCTATAGCTGTATTTCATTATTCTATTTAGTACTCTCCATTTTTGGTCCAAAGGACTCCCAGAATGGCATACAGTGGTACCTTGGGTTACAGATGCTTCAGGTTACAGACTCCGCTAACCCAGAAATAGTACCTCGGGTTAAGAACTTTGCTTCAGGATGAGAACAGAAATCTCGCCGCAGCAGTTCGGCACCAGCGGGAGGCCCCATTAGCTAAAGTGGTGCTTCAGGTTAAGAACAGTTTCAGTTTAAGAACCGACCTCCAGAACGAATTAAGTTCTTAACCCGAGGTACCACTGTAAATTAATAAAAGAACAAAGTGAAACAATAGAGATACTATGCAATAAAGCAATACATAGTGCTTAAAATATCACAGCAAAATAATGCATGGCTGAGTAAAATAAATATAAAAATTAACAGCATCATTCCATCAGCCTTGCA